CCGAGCCTTTTAGTTGCTGGAGTTTTTAACTAAAAGGTTCTTTTTAAGATAGGTATGTGTGTGGTAATTCTGATAATAATTGTATTAATCATGATACCTTTCAATGTATGCAGAGATTAATTAATAAGGTCATTAAAAGAGTATTTTTAGTCAAAAGGAAAGGAGGAGATGTTTGGATATTTGGGGACACAAAACAGACAATGGACTTTGGACCTGCTTAACATAAGAGATTCGTTAACAGGATGCCTTGGCAAAAGCAAACAGAACTTTGAAAATTAGACCTCGATTGCAAGAAGATTAAATCAGACAGGTTTACTGGAGAAAGAACATCCCATTAAACTCTGCAAGCAAGAGATGTTGTTATATGCATAAGTTTGTGTATGTGATTATAACCTAATCATTGTAGCACATATTACTAGTCTCCCTAAAATAGTGTCTAAGCATTTGTATCTCACAAATAAATCGGATTCTGATCACTGAATCAATGTTCCCCATCTCTCTCCATTGCCGACACAGGGCAACCAAGGGCTCAGGCCCAGCCAGCATGGGTTTAGGAAAGGCAGGTCTTGCTTGACCAAATTAATCTTTTATGACCAGACAGCCCACCTAGTGGATGGGGGAAAAGGTTGTGGATGTGTCTACCTGGACTTCAGCAAAGCCTTTGATACTGTCTCCCAACAAATTCTCCTGGAGAAGCTGGCAGCCCACGACTGGGACAGGTGCAGTCTTTGCTGGGTTAAGAACTGGCTGGACAGCTGGGCCAAGAAAGATGTGGTGAGTGGTGCTACATCCAGTTGGTGGGTGGTCACTAGAGGGGTTCCCTGAGGCTCAGTACTGGGCTCAGCCCTGTTTAATATCTTTATTGATGATCTGGATGAGGGAATCCAGTGCACTCTCAATTGTCCACTCATGGACAACATTAAGTTGTTGGGCAGGAGTGTATGATCTGCTAGACAGTGGAAAGGCTCTGCAGAGGGATTTGGACAGGCTGGATTGATGGGCCAATGCCAACTGTATGAGGTTCAAGAAGGCAAAGTACCAGGTCCAGCATTTGGGTCACAGCAACCCCATGGAACTCTACAGGCTGGGGGAAGAGTGGCTGGAAAACTGCCTAGGAGAAAAGGATGGGGGTGTAAGTCAACAGCTGGCTGTAAGTGCATTTTTCAATGTGACCAGATGGCCAAGAAGGCCAATGGTATCCTGACCTGTATTAGCAATAGTATGATCAGCAGGACTAGGGCAGTGATTGCCATCCTGTACTTGGAACTGTTGAGGCTGTACCTTGTGTACTGTGTCCAGTTCAGAGCACCTCAATTCAAGAAAGACATTGAGGTGCTGGAATGTGTCAGAGGAGAGCAACAAAGATGGTGAAGAGTTTAGAGCATGAATCTATAGAGAAGCAGCTGAGGGAGCTGGGTTTAGTGTGAAGAAAAGGCTTAGGGGGACCTTTATTGTGCTCTACAACTGCCTGAAAGGAGGTTGTAGCAAGGTGGAGTCAGCCTTTTTTCTCCCAGACAACTGGTAACAGGACAGGAGGACATAGCCTTGAGCTGTGCCAGGGGACGATTAGATTGGACATAAGAAGAATTTCTTCATGGAAAGGGTTGTTAAGGATTGGAATAGGCTGCACAAGGAGGCAGTAGTATTGCCAATCCCTGGAGGTGTTCAAGAAAATATTGGATGTGGTACTTAATGCCATGGCCTAGTTGACAAGGTGGAGATTGGTAAAAACTTGACTTGATCATCTTGGAGGTCTTTTCTGACTTAAATGATTCCATGAAGTCTAAACAACTAGAAAATTCGGACATCTTTAATGTTAAACCAAAATTTTGGTAACATTTTCACTTCAAGCATGAATAGTTACAAGAAACATTGAATTCTTCTGAAAACATCTTACCTACTAATTTCTTTCCGATATAGCATTGCTTCTTTCTGCAGAACCCTGTCCTTAAGAAACTCAATATAGTGCCTTGTTACCTGACCTGACTACAGGCCCAAATTCTCAAATCTAAAACAAGTAGTACTCAGCTCCATTCCCTCGGAAGGGCACTTCACATGGGAAACTTACTCAGCCCAGAGGGTAAATTCATTTCAGTGACACTGACACACAAACTCTGTTGTAATTCTAAACGGTATTTTATTATACTGTTGTAAGGCTCTCAAAGTAGAAAGAGAAAGCCTGACACAATGTTTCATCAGAGCACTTATACAGGAGTTACAAGTTTCAATGTCTTCATCAAGGTCCAAGTAACTGTGCAACTGTATACATTACTGTTCATCAGAAGGAAGATTTAACATGGTCTTCAGAACTAGAAATGAATATTGATTCCCCTAAAGAATATGTATAAACTACAAGGAAGACAATAGTGAAAAAGCAACTGGATAAATTGTAAGCCAGAGAAAGTTTCAGGTAGACTAGAAGTGTAAGCAGCAGCATGCAATGAATAAAGTCCACCACCATCAGCTGAATAGAAAAAAATCACAAACTAATGTCGTTATCGAGTACCACGTGGCGCAAAGAAGGCTGTATAGATCTATTTATTAAAGCAACGTGTTGCTTTTATAGTTTTACAAGATATTTACATTTACTTAACAAACACATACATTACCCATTGGTTATAAAAAGGAAACAAAACTCTCAATAGGTGAAAAGGAGCCATGTCACTCTGTGAGCCAACCAAAGTCCATATCTTTATTTTCTCTCTTTCTTCATGTTGTCATGGTGATAGCCTTGGTATCTTCCTTAAGAGAGATAGGAGGCTTTCTTATCTTCAGGAAGCCTTCGCTGGCTCACAAGAACAGAAATGTCCTTCCTACAAACTAATTTGCACTTTGTGCAACCATCTGTCCTGTCTGCTAAATACTGAGTGATTTCTGTGTACCTTAAACAGTAACACAGGGTGGCATAATACAGTGTGAAAAGTACATAAATCATTGGCTCTTCACAGATATTAAAAGGAATACTGTATGTGTTACGTTGTATTAATTAGTAGTACTGTATTTTTTTAAGTAGTGTGGTAAATATAGTTTTAGGTTACAACATAATGTTAAAATAGAAACTATGTGATGTAACATACTTTTTTAACTAGCTCAAGAAAGGGATGAGATAATCAAGAAATTCTTTGCACAGAGATAACAGCAACAAGACACCTAAATCTCCAAGAGAAAAATTATTGCCTCCTTATTGGAAAAGACCAACTTTCTTCCACCTCCTTCCCGACTTTGAGGAGCCAACAGGATTAAGGGGGAGAAGTTGACAATAACCAGAGGACACCCTTTGTTTGAAAATAACTTATGCATCATGTATAAGATATATGAATATGCAACAGGCTATTGCTTTTAAGGGTTAATCCTTTGTTAGCATGTGTGCTTTCGGGGCTTAATTGCCCAGGAGGCACCCGGACTGTCCATATGTCTTTGTTTTTATTGTACTTTATTGTGCCAACTCTGATTGCCCAAATTCTTATTACTCTAATTTTTATTACTATTTTTATAACCATTTCATTACTATTAAACATTTAAAATTTTAAAACAAGTGATTAGCGTTTTTCACAACAGTAAGCAGTTACTACTTAAACTTCTGTGCCTCTAAGTGATTGAAAGCATGGCCTGAAACACATAAGCAATCTGGTCTAGCAGCATGTGTCCCTGTCCATGGCAGGGGCCTTGGAACTACATAATCTTTAAGGTCCCTTTTAAGCCAAACCATTCTGTAATTCTATAAAGTCTTTCCCAAGCTTACTCGCTATAGAAAGATGTAGTGTAAGTGGGAAATACAGGCAGTCATGACAAGCAATGTTAAAGATTAAAAGTGTTTACAAATGCTTGGACGAAAGAAAAAGTTTGATCTCTTCCCATGAGTATTATGTTCCCACGAGATGCTGTGTGAGTGAGCTGAACTGGTACGCTCCCGTTCGAAAAACTAGGAGAGGGGTGTGTGTCAGGGAATGGCATCAGCTTAGCATGCCCTTGTCTAGGAGGCAGCTCTAGCTTGGCAGTATGGGAGCAGAGAGAATCACCCTGTAACAAGGGTGATTAGCTCCTGAGAGATAACACAGAGAATCTAAATTTTCAGTTCTCCTTCAGTTCCTAGATAGAGTTTGAAAACTAGCAAAAAAAACCAACCCAAACCCAAAAGAATGTAAAAGTATGCACAAGATGATAAACGTGGCTGGAACCAGTGGATAAATAATGAGGAATATAGTAAGATTTTTTGGCAAAGTTACGTAACAAGAAGCAACAACGCGGGCCCAAAAAAAAATGTTCAAAGGAAGGTCATCTGTAATATTGGGACACTCAGTGAGTACGAGCATCATAGACCCCTTTAGATGACCGTCTAGCACTATAAAAGGAATTCCAACAGGAGGCGGACGCATGCAAATTAGTTCTACGCCAGTGATGTTTACCTATTAGCTAAGAAGCAAGTTGTAATGAATATGTATGATCATGATAGAATTAATGGCCTGTAGTAGTTTCATTACACACATCCGATTAGAGGAGCTATCCTCCCAAAGCTGTAATAAAGAATGCCGGCTTTCAAATTCTATTAGTTTATTTTCCGGCCGATTTCGGTATCACCTCAGGCTCGTCGCGGATCACCGAGACCAATGTTCGGTGATTCCGGCTGCAGGGGAGCTCAGGTTTGCCCGGCCTGGCCTCGTGTAATTTATTACAGAGCGCGGCCGCACTGTCACGGAACAGCCGCCCCTGCGCGCGCAGCCCCACCTTTCCCCCCCACGCGACGCTCCAGCGGCGGCTCCGTCCCTCCTCTCGTGCCAGGTGAAAGAAGCTGCCCTATTCCGCACCTGCGTCAGGCCCACAGTAGTTCCCTTACCAAAAGTGCCCGCACCTAGAAGAAGGCAAAATATTAGTAGTGGTAGAAGGGCGTGGCTGAGGCCGTGCCTTTCATTGGACTAAGTCGCTCTCCACCAGTTGCTTTCAACGCTCAGTCTCTGCAGAGACCACTCTTTGCTGCTGCTAATAGTCAGGCAGCAGTGGACAGCATTCTTGAGGAGATGAAGGCGAGCTGGGTCCTTGCTAAAGCGGTGGCGCGGTGTGTGACGCCATGGAGCGGCGCACACGCATCGCTCTCGGGGCCGCACGGAGGCGTGGGCACGATGATGCCTGGAGAGACGCCACCGCCGCCGGCCGGAACTGCGGCCGCCGGCAGGGCCTGCGCGAACTGCGGTGTTCTCCAGCAGGTAGGCATCGACCGCCGTCCCTGTGGCGCTTGGAGTGGGGTTTTTGCTCGCAGACGAGGTAGTGGATCAGCGCCGGGCCGCTGGCGAGAAGTGTCGGGTACCACAGTCACCACTCCCTGTGCCGTCGGAAACGCGGATAGCGTGCGTGGTAAACGGGATCTCAAAGTAGCAGCAATGTCGAGTTTTAGCTAGGCGAAGTGTGGAAAAGTAGCTCGTGTCTCTGCGACGTGCTTAGTGGGATCTATCAGGGAATTTCTAGTTGTGTCCTCTTGGCTTTGCTTCGATGCAGTATAAGGATTTAGAATTTACTTCCTTGAGGGCTCTTAAGAGAGTGTGTATTTTTATGGTATTACGCTTTGGGTAATTTTTATTTTTCCTTTCAATGAAGAGAAGGTCCTGTTGAGACTTCATAGGACGCACTTAGAATGAGTATGGATGAGAAACTGGAAAATCTGTAGACTCAAGTGAGCTAATGTTTATTGCTGATATTCTGCCAAAGGTCAATTGAATTTTGACGGAAAAAGTTATAGGGATTTAGTACATAATCTACTGCAGAGGCAAAGTTTGAAGAGCTTTTGTAGCAAAGCCTCACTTAAAGATGCATACTTACTTGTGGAGCCTGCATTCTCTGCGTGATTAAAGACAGTTTATTGTATTTTCTATAAAATTAGCCATTGGATTAGGGGTTATTTACAGTACTGATTTTTGGGGTGTAAGTTCTTTACTGACTTGAGACTCTTCCTTACAGAATATGAATGAATATGTAGCTGCATTAATTGCATTGAAGCAAAAAATAATTGATGGAGAGTAAGTACAATTGCATGCGGTTTTGTTTGTTTGTTTGGGTTTTATTCTTAAGTACTTACAGCAATGCAGGAGATATGATTTTTGGAATGTGAATATTCGCTTGTGCACTACACTAAATGCTTCTCAAAATGAGAGTTCTTCATGAACATGTCCTAAATCTAGACTGTAAGACTAATTTATTCTGTAAAACATCTGTGTATAATGACAGTAAACAGAGCTATTTTGTGTACCTGTAATATTATTAGAAGTACAGGCAGAAGCAACTCTTTGAAGATATTTATTTATTTATTTAAGGCAGAAGCAGATGATATTTATTGATATTCATTTTGTTCATTTAATTGTGCTTGCTTATTTAATTTTTCTGTGGTGAAGAATGTGGGAACTAAAAGTTTAGTACAGATATGAACTTTTGCAGCAGAATTTAGTCTAATTATTAAATTCTGAAATTCTGTTGGGATTAAATATCAGAATGTGAAAAGTGAAGCTGAACATTGTTCAGAATGATATGATTATAAAATCCTTCTTACAGTTTGCTTTCTTTTCTGTGCTTGCTTCCAATTCTTCTCAAAACCCATCAACATATTGTATGGAATAATATATCAAGATATGTTATGTTTACCTCCATACTATGGCCCTAATGTCCATGCAATGGCTCCTAATTTTAGTGGTTTGTTTCTTATGTATCCTTTTCTAGATGCATGTCAATCTGGCTTTAGTGAATCTAAATGACAGTTCTGCATTCTATTTCCAGAGTATTTCAGCTAGCACACACTGGGTCTCTTAGCTAGGATCCTTTTTTCAAAGCTCCTTTACTCTGTTGTAATTTCTTTTCTGACCTCTGAATTTTGTGTCCCTCTTCTTTCTGCCAGTGCATATATTTCTTGAGGAAATTGCCTCTTCTTTAGCTACTTGCAGCTCAGCCTTTCTTTTTTGCTTTACTGGATTGCTCTTAACTATTGCAATAGAAAGTAATGCAGCCCTCTCTGTATTAGGGTAACTCCCATGGTATTACTCTTTCTTGTCCTTTCTTTTCTCGGTTCTTAAAAAACATAATATTTGAGAAAAGAAAGGAGTAGCTTTCCTTGGTGCTGTCCCATGGCCTTCTTGCATCAGGCTAAATGTTACCCTTTATGGCTGCTAGGAGAATAATATAAAGATTAAAGCCTTTTAGGGTCTTTCAAACTTTCTCTGAGATGTGTGTTCTTTTTTAGGAAAACATCCTTTCAAGTATGGAAACGTGTTTTATATATATATTTATATATATTTATATATATATATATATGTATATTATTTCCTTTATCTAAGCAATACTTTTTTTTTAAAGCTGCAATTAGTTAATGACTACAACTTCATGTAATCGCCAGTTGTTTTTTTTTCCTACTTAAAGCAGTTTGATTTGAGGTTTGAATGGCTTAATGAAATCAAAGGGTTGTATTGACTACTATCAGAAAATTTAAACCAATCTTACACTTTCTCTATTTATCTATAAAGCAAAAGGAAAGATACCCTAACATATGATTGTCAAAATCAGATGAGAAAATGAGTAATGTCTGGGTTTTTTCTTTTCTTACAGTCGTTTGCTGACAGAGTATCAACAGAAATGCACTGATATCCTTTAGTTTTCTCTTTGTGTTCTTACAGGATTAGTATACCTAAAACATTTATAAAAGGGCTTGAGGCTTTCTGTTTAGGTTATGAGATGATGTCTCTAATAAAGAACAAACTGGGTGGATTTTGTAAAGAAAACAGGCCTTTGGAATTAAAACTATCCATTTAAGATACGCCTATTTCTGCTATATGATTTAAGGTAGTCTATTTGAAATATGAGTTGCTGAGAATTACTCAATCTTTTTCATGTAACAGAAGAAACTCTTCTTATTCACTTCAAATGTATTGAAATGCATATATAAACACTTAGTTCTGCAAGTCTTGGGGAGTTTTTTTTCTGGGAGGAAGTCTTTACTGGATGTCTCTTTGCAAGTTGCAGTTGGATTGAAATATACTTAAGGACATTTGATAAACTGTTTTTAGTTTCTACCTTAACAAGAGATTACAGCTTCAATTTGCTGAACGGTAAGTTGGATTTATATTGTCTACTAAAGATGTATTACTATATTCTCTGTGTTGTGGTTAGTTTTAGGAGTCTGACGGTGTCATAGCAACAGCCATAGGTCTAAGCTGCACTTCTAGTATGGTACTTTTACCATGCTTCCTAGGCCATAGTTAGCAAAGGTATGATGAGGAGAAAAATCTGTCCTTCCTCTACAATACATGTGTGGGATTCTTTCCTGGCCCTGGGCTAGTGAGAGTCCAAGTGGAGATGTGAAGCTCATCTTTTGGTGGCAGTTAAATGTATGGCTATTTCGAGCGTCCATATTTGTGTGAAGCCTTTTGACTTAAGAGTTGGGTCTGTGTGCCCTTGCTTACTCTGTGGTTATAGAGGAAGAGGCAGCATATAATTTTTATGGAGTCCAACCTGCCTGTTGAAAAACACTGCATTTGGACTCTGCTCTTACTTTACAGCACTGTGTATGCAGAGACACTTATTACTGGCACTTTAATGTAGGCAGCATACTTCTGTGGCACATGCCATCTGCTTGCTTCTAGCTTTGGGTTCAGTGTAGTGCTTTTAAGTCAGATCTTGGATTTTCTTTAAATAGGTGGAAAAATAAGAACACTGAAACTATTAAAGTTTTTAGGTATCTCTTACAGCATTTTTTCCATAGGATAAAAGCAAAATACTCCGATGTTTGATTGAAGAATCAGAATGGTGAGTTTCAAAGCATCTGTGGTTTTGGCAACTTTTTTAATTGCACATCTAATTTCAGAGAGATCTCTGCTCTTCGTTGCCAAGTGGAGAAGATGTTACAGAAAATTCTGCCTCTGGAAAAGTGTCAGGAAGAGTTGGGTTCCTTGAAGGCAGAGTTGGAAGAAAAAAAGGTGTGCTTGTTTAAATAACTTGAGCTTTTTCTGTTGAAAGAAATGCATATTCCTAATGCTCATCTTAATGAAGCTGACTTTTAATGAGCTCTGTTCTTACTTCCAGCTCACTGGGACAGGTAGCTCTGGTGAAGTTAGGTGAAATTAATTAAATTACTTCAGGTTTCAGTGAGGCAATAAGTTTAGGTTGTTGTAGTTCTTAAAATTTTTGATCAGATTATTTGGTTATTTCCTCACGAAGGAAGGAAGGAAGGAAGGAAGGAAGGAAGGAAGGAAGGAAGGAAGGAAGGAAGGAAGGAAGGAAGGAAGGAAGGAATGAGAAACATTCAGACTCCTTTGGTTTTCTGCTCTGATCTTGTCAGATTATTGAATATAACTTGCACTAGTGGAAAGGTGCCAAGAAAGAGGGTCTGTGCAGAATAGTGTTGTGCTTCTGTTACCTTTTTGAACATATGTTTTACATCATTAGCTTCTGAAGTTTATTCCTAATTTCTCTCCCATCGCTTAGCTGAGGTTTAGTCTACAGGGAAGAAGGTTTAGATTGTTCAAATTACCTACATGTATGTATTTTCTAGACATTATTATAATTCCTGAAGAAAATACCCCACTTTCTTTCTTGTAGCTTTTTTATAATGAAGATACTAACATTTGTCTTGTTGCTGTACGTAGTTAGTGTTCTGTGTTAGAATGATTTTATAACTGCTCTTCCCTCAACAAGCATTCGTAGCTGATGTCCTGATGGCACTTTTTCAGAAAAATGTATAGTGTATAATAGTTAAGATCTTGATTTCAGCTTCAAGTTCCTATCCAGCTAGGTGTTGAAGGCATGTACTCAAAAGATAGACATAAAGAGATTAATGTGTTTGTTTGTTATAACTTTTGCCTTTAAAGAAAGAAGATAACCTGACTTTCCAACTTGCTTCTTTTCTTATTGAATATACTTATACTTTTTTGGCCAGGCACTGTTTTCATTAGAAGAGGTAAGATGTCTGCCATTTTTTTTTGCCCTCAGAATGGACATATTTTAACTGTGCTTTCCTTCTTCAGAATTCTCTCAAGATTTATCAGGAGACCCAACTGGAATATGTTAAAATTAAAGAAGAAATATTAAACAGTGATGCTGTGTGAGTTGTTTTTTCTCAACCTTTCTTTGCCTCTCTTACCTCTTCCAAACTTGATAATGTACCTTATCTAGTTATGCTTTCCATCTCACTAAAATTTTTGTACTTATGGGTTCTTAGAACAAGGAGTTGATGGAAGAATGATCCTAAGTATTGTAGCAAACTCTTTTGAGTGCAGTGTTACTTTATTTATTGTCTTGACATGAAGTGGCTTTATGTGGTTGTTTATTGAAAGTCTTTAAGAACAGGATGAAATTGAAAAAAAGCTGTAGTTTCTCCAGTTCTAAATGGTTCTTAGTTTCAGCTTTTTGTTATTGCCATCCATTTCAGTTTTGCTGTTAAGTCTCTGAGGCAGTATAAGAATAATATTGCCAAAGTGGTCTGTACTAAAATCAGTCCTTAAAATAATTATTTTAATGTAACAGCTCAGCAATTCATAGTGAACTGTCTGCCATGTTTGGAAATGAGCAGGAGGGATTTGGCACCAAAAGTGCAAAAGTAATTTTTGCTGCCATAATACAGAGTATTCTGAAACTGTGCCTTGTTAATTCCCAAAGTTTGTTTTTCCAGTAAGCAGTCAGTCAAAGGTTTCCTTGCCTGGAGCATATGTGTGTGTTAACTCTTACAGCTCTTGATACATACTCTAATGGGCTTGTCTAATTGCTTTTTAATCCTCTAATATTTTTAACCTTTAAATCACCTATATCAGGGAACTGTGACTTCTCAGTATTGTGTGGGAAGGTTCTCATGCTCTCAAAAGAGAACCAGCTAATATATAGCAAGGTGTTGGTAGTTGTGGTTATTTTTCTTCATGTGCATCACTTTGCATTTACACAAGCAAATTGCACTCTAATGACTTGGAATTCTAAGACCCTTTTGATTTTGTAGTCAACTTTTATTTCTGATGTGTTCTAGCACACATCCCAATGGGACTCCTGCTGCTGACTCCTTGCTTCCATATAAGCTGGTTATCATTTTTAACTTTGGTGTTTCTAAGCTATTTTGGTGCTACCAGCCGGTCGAGGGAAGTGATTGGTTCTCTCCTGCTCAGTACTGTGTAGGCCATGCCTTGAAGTACTGTGCCCAGTTCTGGGCTTTTTTGTACAGGTTTATGGGTATACTGGAGAGAGTCTAATGAAGGTCCACAGAGATGATCAAGTGACTGAAGCATTTCTCCAAAGAAGTACACTAGTCTCTTTACATGACTTGTGAAACATACAGTGTTCACAAGCAGAGCAGCAAGCTATTACCCAAAAGACTGTATGAGGAGACTAGGATTGTTGTCATTTCTTCAGCCATTCTGCACTAACTTCACATATAGACGTACTCAATGTACTGTGAGCTTTATGAAATGTTCAGTACATTGTCTTATCTAAGAGAGCAGAGAGCAGCTACCCCATTGCTAACTGCATCTTAAGAGGGAACTGACCACTCTGATGTGCTGGCAATTTATTGTGTCAGTATAGATATAATGTTTGTCCCTGTCACTCATATCTTCAAGAAGGAGGAGCCAGGGAACTACTGACTAGTCAGCCTCACTTTGATCCCTGGGAAGGTGATGTAGCAGGTCATCCTTGAACTCATTTTCAGGCACATGAAGGACAAGAAGCTCTAGAGTAGACAGCATGTCTTCACCAAGGGGAAGTTGTGCTTCACTGACCTTATAAATTGACATGTTTTCTAGATCAGGGGAGAGCAGTGGCTAGTGTCTGACAGGGAATAAGATCTCTGACACCATTTCCCATAATAGCCTCATCATAGCCCATTAGGCTGGTGCTGTAGGGGCTGGATGGGCAGACAGTGGAACAAAAACTGGCTGAATGGCTGGGCCTTGAGTGTGATGATGAACACTGTGCAAAGTCTGGTTGGAGACCAGTAGATAATACTACCCTAGGGGGAGACAGAGAGGGCTGCACAGTGAGTCTACTCCAGTTTAACATCTTGTTAGTGATCTGCATGATGGGGCAGAGCCTACTGTCAGCAAACTTGCCAATGGCACACGTGTGGCTGATGGGCCACAGGGGCATGCTGCTATCCAGCACAAGCTTGACAGGCTGAAGAAATGAGGTAACTTCTCAGCAAGGAGAAGTGTGAAGCCCAGCACCTGATGAGGAACAATCACCAGTATGTGCTGGTGGACAGCAGCTTGGGATGATTTCATTATGTGAGCCAGCGATACACACTGGTGGCAAAGAGGTACCAGTATCTTGGTTTTCAGTGAGTTTTGCCAGCAGGCTGAGGGAGATGCTATTCTCTTCTGCTCAGCACTTCTGATGCCACCCCTAAAATACTATGTTAGTTCTGGACTTCTCAATACAAGGGAGACATGGATATATGGGAGTGAGTTCAGTGAAGGACCATGAAGATGATTAAGGAATAGTAGCATTTCTCCCGTGACAGAAGGCTGAGAGAACTGGGACTGTTAAGTCTAGAGAAGAAAAGACTCAGGGGTGGTATTACCAATGTCTATAAATACCTGAAGGGAGCGTGTAAAGAAAAAAGAACCAGGCTCACTTCCTTGGACCTCAGTGATAGGACAAGAGGCAATGGGAACAGAATAAGACAAAGAAGGTCATGTTTCCTGTGAACATCAGGAAACACTTTTTGCTGTGAGAATGACTGAGTACTTCCATAGATTGCCCTGGGAGTTTGTGGCCTTACCATCCTTAGAAATATTCAGTAGCCATTTGGAAATGGTCCTGGCCAGTGAGCTGTAGGTGGCCCTGCTTGAGCAGTGTGGGTTGAACACCATAACTTCCAGTGGATTCTTGCCACCTCAGCCTCAATTCTGTGATGCCATAGCTGTTTTGTATACCTCTGATACTGAGGCCATTTGAAGCAGTAGGTCATATGAGTTCAGTAATTTGAAAGCTGAATTTTTTCAGAATCAGAGTAATAGTGAATAGTGCATAAAATTACTGTTAATTTACAGGTACTATTAAAAACTTAGGTGAGAAATTATCACTCATGTCCTTTGGTCCAGTCTGCTATTTAGAGCCAGTGTTAAAGTTAGCTTGCTCAGGACTGTCTACTTGAGATCTGAATATTCTACAGGGATGGCAGTTCCCATGGAGTACAACTTCTGTTAGCATAGCATTCTGTCAGCTGCAGTTGTGCATGTATCTTAAGGATCAGATAGGAACTTGAGTTGGGTAACATAAAAGGAGTTCTGCCCAAATGCATCATCTGCAAACTGCTTTTTGTAAATTGCTAGATTTAACATCTACCTATTTTCTTCATGTAGTTGTGTGTTGATGAAATTAGTATAGTTCTGTATATGTAAATGTAATTACTTAATTTATAAATATTATTGCAATGATAATGTTGGCACTTTGTTTCTGTTTGTTCAGATTCTTGTTATTTGTATCCTAGTTTTTTTTAATCTCAAGTTGAAAAGTACCTGTGAGGATCATTGAGTCCAACTCCATTCTCCTCGCAGGACTACTTAAAACTAAGCTGTAAGACTAAGACTATCATTCAGGTGCTTCTGGAACTCTGTCAGGCTTGATGTCAATGATTGCTTCCCTGGGGAGCCTGAAGAACATTTTCCTGATGTCCCATCTAAACTTCCCTAGTGCAGCTTGACTGCATTTCCTTCTGTCCTGTCACTGGTCACCAGAGAGAGGAGATAAGCACCTTCCTCTCCACTGTCCCCTGCTGAGGAAGTTGTAAACTGTGATGAGGTCACCCCTCAGCCTTCTCTTTCCTGAGCTAAACAAGCCACTCATGGTCTTCCAGCACAGGTTTCTGGGAGTCCCAGGGTCTGTCATTGGTGACAGATGTGAAGAAGGCATTAAATATCTCTGCTTTGCATCCCTATTTGTGATGTGACTAACCTCATGAAGCAATGGACTGATGTTATTTCTGATCTTCCATTTGCTGTTAAGATATTTTAAAAAGCCCCTTTTGTGTCCTTCAGAGTACTGGTCAGCTTGAATTCTAATTGAGCTTTGGCTGCATGAGTCTTCTCCCAGCAATGGTAAACAGCATCTCTGTGGTCTTCCTGTGTCAACTTATCTTGCTTCCAGTGTCCATGCATTGCATATGTAGTACTTCTGTGCATTCACTTGAAGATAATCTACAGAGAAACAGAAGTTTATTACGTCCTGTTTTCTAAAGGACAACTCCCCCCTCCCCTGCCTCCCCTTATTTCTTTCTATAAAGGTATTTTATGAGGAATTTTGCTGAAATTCTCACCTATGGCTTGACTGTCAAAGCCATCATATAGGAAAGTAAGTATGAACCTCTTCAGGCTGAGAAGGCACAGAATCCTTGGTCTATTACTTTATACTATAAATACTTTGACTACTGAACATGCAAAAGGTGGTCAATCATACAATTTATGAGTGGATTTTTGAATATATTTTGGTTATTGTCTGAAGTGGTAATTAAAGCCTGAACATCCAGAAAGGCTTAGATGGTAAGTCTCAATCTATTACACAGGTTTTAATATGGGGAATAAATTAACTCTGTTCTGCTTCATGAAAGTGATCAGTGATCATTGGTAGAATTGTCTACTTACCACAACAGTTCAAAAACAATTTCTGGAATATTAGAATTTAGTAGAAGAAAATAATAGAAATGTGTATTTTTCTATTTTCTATTTATTTATTTTCCAGTTCTGTGTGTTTTACATATAAGGTAGGATTGGAAATGTTGAAGTAAAAATTGTTTGGGATGCTTCATGTTTTTTCCTTTGGTTTGACTTTAGTCTAAAGTATCTGGATGTTCTGAACAAAAAGGTTTGGGACATAAGTCATCCTGAGGGTTATTCCTGATTATATCATTGCTTAGATATTATTCATTGTAAGCAATGATTGTTGATTGTTTTTAAGGAGTAAAGCTAACCTGTCTGCATTACATCTTAGAAATGCAAAAACCGAAGTCAGTTTTCTGCGGTTGTATTTCTAATACTGGGTTGTTGCTAAAGGTATATTTAGTGGATTGACTCTCTTAAAAGCAAACTTTGCCTCTGTAACAGATACAGCTGTTTGTGTGAGAATGCCAGCAACATGGCACCAATTTGATTTTTCAACTTCAGGGACTCATTGATCTCACAAGGTCCTGGGTATAGGAGGTGTGTTTTCTTTGAATGGCTAGATTTTTTTTTCTGACTTTTCATGCAACATAGTTCTATTTTAAAAAATGTTCTGTTAATGTGGTTTTTTTAACAGGAGAAAGAAACTGGAAACTAAAGTGAAAAAACTTGAAGGTAACTTTCTACATTGAGTAGGACAACAGTACAGTAAGATAATCTCTTTTTTCCTTTTCTGTCCAGAGGAATTGTGACTTTAACTTTGATGCCCAAGGAACAAGGCAGGCCAGTACTATGTGGGGTGCTTAGTCTCTGATTTATATCAGCCCTCCTCCAGAATATTTTCTGCTGAGTGTCTTAGGCATGACTCAGATGAAGTTGGAAGGGAACTTCTAGTCATGAAAACTTCAAAGGATGGAGTGTTACCAGCATCTGTAGGCAACTTGGTTCAGTAACATGTTGAAAACTCCCATGTTTCAGTTTACACCTAATGTCTGCCATACAGCAGTCTCGTTCCATCTTCTTGATTGAACAATCTCATTAACAGTCTCATTCCATCTTCTTGATACCTCTTTGTACAGGAAAGCTGTTCTTGTATTCTTTCTATGATTTGTTATGTTTTCCCCTCTGGCTGATTAAGTCTAGTTCAATAAGACTGTTTTCACAGGCCATGTGCTCCATGTGCTCTAATAATCCTGGCAGGATTGTTCATGTTTATGTTCATATTAAAGTATTTGGTGTTCCAAAACACACAAATATATGTGTGTTTTCTGACTTTGAAATGGTCTGGCACTTGTATTTTAGTTGGTTAGTTAGTTAGTTTGTTTGCTTTTTTTTACGTGGAGAAAAAGCATTGGCTTCATGGCCCTGTGTTTTTCTTGTTTGTGAGGAAGACTTTCTGAGACTTCACTTGCTGTGTCATCAATTGGCAAGGCAGATATTTGCATTCATATCATGCATATTTTAGCTGTGCTTACCATAGTTCAAAATACAGTGAACTGAGTGACATATCTTAGTGTTAGAAACCCCCTGAATCTTACTGTAAAGTGCAGGTACAAGGTGTTTATTTTGATGAGAATTTTGGAGTTCCATTGCAGGACAGCCAGGCTTTTTACACACTTGCCTCCAAAATCTCAAATTCTGGCAGAACTAGAACAAAATACTGAGAGACAGTATGTGTTAGGTCCAATTTCAGTGACTATTTTATCTCTTTTGGTTTTTTCTATGTTCATTAAATATCTCAAACATTGTATCTTTTGGCAGTATGAAATTTTGCCATTATTGGTTTTTTTGTTAGCTTACCACTCAAGGTTCCTTTTTAAAACCTTTTATTTTAATAGGCTCTCTTCTGATTGATCAGCAGGAAGATTCCATTTCTTTTCTTTCCTATCCATATATAAGTAATCAAACTGAACTCTCAGGAGTTCTCTCTGCTGACTCTGTCACCTAAGAATTTTCCTAGGAACCTTGCATTCAGTTCTCACCTACCCTATACCCTCTATTTCCACCCATCTGCACTCTTGCCTGGTGTCTGTTAGACATTAAGAGATAAGGTCCTCTTCTCTATTAGTTTTGAGTGCTTTATGTATCTTTCTAATGCAGCTGGCTGTGGTGTGTTCATCTTTGAACCAGAGCTCTTATTTAAATAAGAGAGTAAAACTGTAAAAAACCCTTGCAACTCAATTTTATCTCCTTTTTTCAACAATATACTTGATGTATATTTATTGTTCTACAGTACAATATCATTACAATATGACCCACTCTTCATTCTTGCATATAATTGAGAAAACTAATAAATGTATTGCTGTGGTTCAAAACAGTAATTATACAGTAGAAGGCAACATACTTTTATGCATGAGATATTGTCCGAATGAACCAATATATAACTTCAGTAGATCTGTATTTCACACTATCTGTTTTTTTCTGGTGACTTTATTTGCAAACTAGGGAACTACTATACCAGCACCACTTAAATTAGTGGCCTCTTTACAGTGTAGTTTTTAAATTGAATTTTGGTTCTCTTTTTTGAAGAGGCTGCAACAAAACATACACAGGACTTCAGACAACTAAAAACTGAAAAGAAAAGGCTTGAAAAGGAGCTGAAAAAAGTACAAGTAAGGCTTTCCTTGTCTTTGTGTGAAACTTCTTTTAGTATTTTTGGGGGAAAGAAAGAAGCTATTAGTGTAATAGGTGCTGAAATAGTAAAATTACATTTTTGGGGGAATATTGAATATTAAACATTAGCAATTCACTGTAAGAGAGAAATTTTCCAACTTCAGAAATGTTGATATAGATTTCATGCTCTTTAGGAACTGATGTTCTAAGAAATATGTATGGCATAAAAATTCTGTACTTCTTCATTTTAACAGGGAAAACTTGATGGTGTAATTAAAGAGAAGTGCAGAAAATGTAAGTGCTTATGTTTGAATGCCTTTGAATTTGTATGTGGTATTGTTCCATTTGAATATTTTCTTTCCACCTCTCCTCTTTTTAATAGTTAAACATGCAGAAACTCAGAGTTCAAGTGAAGATCTTGCAACGTATATAGACAAAGGTAAGACTTTTTGCAAGTCCATTCTCTGTGTGGAACCAATTGTTACGAATTTATCGCAGCTCTTCTGGAGCTGCAATTTTGGAAACGGGATACTGCTAAAGTGCTATAAGAGCAGATGTGGTTGATACAAGTAGGTTACACTGATGAAGGACCAATCCAATAGATTACTATTTTCAGTTTTTCAGCAAGGAAAACTCTTGATTCATAAAAATGACTAGTCTACCCTGTGCATATGTGAAGTCAGCTGATGTGCAATTATAAAACAAAATGCAAACACTGAAAAAAACCACTAACAATCCCTCTGAAGCTTACTGAAATCATAAAGCACCAAATAGGAGAGTAATACGGTAAAATTTCTATGTGAGACTTGGAAAATCAAGTGGAAATACAGGAGGTATAGTTGTATTTTATCTTATTGACTTTGTTTTAGTGATCTAAAATACATGCTACAAATTTCCTGAATCTAACTCTAATGGAGCAAACTCCTTGAAAACTTCCTCCAAAGTACTGAGGCCAAACTTTAGGCAAATTTATTTTTTGTATTTTTTGCAGTCTTTTAAAGTGCTGGTACTGCTTTTGAACTGTTTAGATATGCTGAAGGCTGTTTTGAGGCAAAAGAACTTCACTGTTCTATTTCTTGCTTTGCAAAATAGGTTTGTTGCAGAAATTAAATGTTTTTAAAAAAGCCACACCTTGTCAGTTTGTGTGTGTCTTGGCATATTTTTTACTTTTGGATTGTACTGAATTGGTACCAAATTTAATCCTTTGATTTTTAATTAATGGCAAAATAGGAAAATTAATATCTGAACATTAATTTGAGCTTCAAATAGCAGCAAGGATTTCTTAATAATGAGTAAATGGTAGTGTTGTTATTAGCTCTTTAGCAAAATTTGGTAGGTTTGCCTTGTATATGCTGACTGTTTTTTAATATGTCTCTTCATAAAATAATAGCAGTTTGCCATGGCCTTTGACTTACAGAATTTGCACAAAAACAGTCTCAGTTCCTGATTGTTGGATTTATGATACTTTTGGCATAAGTATATAAGGTGCTTCTGTATCTTACTGCAGTTTTGAGTTTTTCTTCCCTCTCCACTTCTCTTCTGTCTCTGAAACTAGGTTGTTTGACATCACCTAGCAATAGTGCTGTTAGAACTGTAGACAGTCTCCTAGTGTTGTGGCCTGATAATTAGTTCAGATACATGGTGCTATTACATGATAAAACTAAGATTAATTATTACTGAGTGAGCAGAAGTGTGATACGCATCTTCGTAGAAGATTTTCTCCCAGGTTCATGTAATTTGATTTGTTTTACAGAGCTGTTTAATTTCGCTAATGCTACATTTGAATCTGTTTTACCTTTTACTTTGGGGGCTGTTATAACTTTTTGCAGTACTCCCTATGAAAAGGAAAAGGTAAAGCATTCTCCAGCTGTTACTGTACTGGCCATATCCCCATAGCAGACTAAAGGATCTATTCCCTAAATGGCATCTAGCATTTCACTGTCACTGAAGCTTGTGCCTTGTTTTAATTTTTGTAGGTATTTTGTATTTAGTTGTAGGCATGTATGTGTTCTGAGTAAAATAAACACAAATTCTTAGTTCAATTCTATCAATTTATTTAAAATAATAGATTTTTTATTTATTTATTTTAACAGGAAGAGCGATGTTCTTATTAGAACAACTCCGGATGTGCATTGACAGTGCAAAAGGAAAAAGAGAGAATGAGAAAAATGATCCTGTGTTAGGTACAATGGCATGCAAAGTCTTGAAATTTTCTTGATACTCTCTTCTTTTCTGACCAAAAGGCAATGTTGGTATTTTCTTTCAGCTTCTATTTGGGATAAGGAATGATCCAACAAAAGAAGACTAACTGTTACAGAGAATAGGTTCCAGTTGGGTAGTAACTGTGTAACACTCTTTTGAAAGACTTAAATACTTTCCTTGGTCTTTGTCTGGTCAATTACATGTGTGATTAGAATCTGAATTATCTGAAAATAATACAAATATTAATTTGAATGGGTAAGTACACTTGAACTGTCTTCTGTTAAAAAGCTGTTGTAATTTCCTGTTGCAATCAAGAAATCAAATTCTTTTACTGTTTGTAAGTAGTCAAAACTCATCTCATGGTTAAAACATTATTATTATATTGTTATCAAATCTGTAGTATATAATGTGAATGAAGGTGCATATGGGCTCTTTTAGTCTGAAACAAATACGTGGTAACATAGATGAATTATAAGGTTTAAGAAGCTGTTACCTCCATTTTCTTCTTTGTAATGTGATATTCAGATAATGATAAAAAATAATCTGAGTAGTTATCCACATGCATATTCACAGCAAACTTTAACTGCTTTAACTTTACACAGCAGATATTTTCTTTCTGCACTCAAGAGTAATAGATGCCTTGAAACTGCATTAATTTCTGTGTTGCATCTCTGGAATGTTTTTATTAAGCTTTATTAGTTTTTTCAGTTACTCTACGACTTTGATTTTTCTGTAACTAAAGGTGTAGAGATACTGCCTGGGATAGGTACCCAGCAGCATTAAGAGCTTTGAAGATAAACTTTTCAAAGACCCTGTTAAGTCTGAAAATGTGCTACTAGTGTAGATCCCAATGAATCTGCCTTCAGATGTATTCCAATGGAATCCGCTTAAGAGGTGCTGAAATATAAGGACCAGCTCATAAACCTGGTAGTCACCCTTACTTCCATGAGTTTAATGCAGCAAACATATGGCTTCAGCTCTAAAACTGAGCTAGGCACTTGTGCCCTGCAATTCTGAATTTAATGTCTTGATCAAGGATCAATCAAGTGACAAGAACAAGCACAAGAAACTGAAGAGTTTAAAATATATATGATTTTAGGGGTATCAGGTTCCACAGTAATCCCTTTGCCATCCACCAAAAGAGGAACTTTAGATTTCAGAAACTGTTTTCCATCTTTCCTATTCATATCTTCTCAAGGAAACGACAGTACTTTCATAGAAGGAAGCAATTATCTCTGTCTCTTCTAACCAGTCCTTCTTTCTTCCCACTTCAGTATGGAGAAAATTCTAAGCTTAGACCATGCTTTTGTTGGAATGGCTAGATTTCATAGAAATAAGTCTTTTGTCCTTTTACTGGTTTGTTTTTTTCCCTCATCAAGCCTAGAACAGCTATATGGTTATTCATCCTCTTATGAAACTGGCCTTTACCTTGAATTCATAATAACAAAGTGCTTATGTTTACAGGTGCAATCTTCTAGGAAAAAAAGGATCTTAATGAGTTTGCCCATATTATAATAGTTTCAACCTAGAGAGCGGATCAGCTTGATGGTAGTATATTTTCCAGAGAATGTCAGTTCATCTGCTGCCTGGATCTAGCCTTTCAGAAATGTACTTCTTCTAACAGATTTCTTAGTATATTCAAATGTGCTGCGCAATACCCAAAGCTTTGCATTATGGATCAGCATCTTATCTGTTCTGCTAAGGTTGATACTACTTTGAATGGTTTTCTTGAAGAATATGTTCATATATGAAAATTGGAAGACTCATGAGGCTTTCCAAATGTGCTGTTGTGAAAGCCTCATAAGATAATGGAGGTTTGCCAAACTTAATTTAAAAGCATTTGGTAGTACTGTTACAAATCTACCAGTAATAAAGTTGACAATACCTGCATCTGACCATCAGTCCAGTAACCTTGGGCCATAATCTAAGGTTATTATTAACATTGATAGTATTTTAGTCTTTGGAAAACTTTATCTCATATAGTTGGGACATAAAATCACCTACATTGTGAATAAACATTTAATGAAGCATTTGAAGAATCTTGCAGCTGGGTGCTGAATATTTTGCTAAGTTGGGTTCTCTAACATGCTCTGTTCATATGCAATGGTGAGATGACACTGAAGAAAAGTAAAGACCCTGTCTGGGAGGAGCCAAGCTTCTTCAAAAGGTGTTCTGTAACTGGGTTCTGAGCTAAATTTGGCTTACTACGGAGCTATACCCATCTTATCTGCTCATCTTTTTGTTTGGGGATACAGGATAGGGGAGAAGCTGCATGTAGATCTTAAATGCAGAGATGGAAAGGAGTGCACTTGAGTTGTCTGCTTTAATATCAGATTTGCTGTCTCAGAAAACAGAATATTGCCTGTAGCTTCAAAGAATATTTAGTGTATGAAGCATCCTGAAATTCACATAATTGGATACAGGTTGAAACATTCTGCCTCATTTTCAGGGCATTAAAAATTTCAGTGGAGGAATTTTTTTCTCAGAGAAACACCACTGTTCTTGAGAAGTGTGCAGTTGCTTCTTCCAGGCATCTGTAATCACTGTGCTGATGAGTTTTTGCTGTAAATCAGATGAGATTCTATGGCTAGATTATTTATTTTTATAAAATACCACATCTTAATCTGGTCCTTCTTGAGATGAAAAAACCACAAGACTTGTTTCAAAAAGTTGCTTTGTTGCTTGGAGTGAGTAGAGGACAACTTACAACAGAGAATTGCCTTGCAATGTACCCAATCAAGAGTAAAGTTTTGAGTTGTAAAATTCAGTTTGTTTAGTACCAAGGCAATTAATTTTAGCATTGGATCACTTATGTAATCTCTGCTTCTTTCTCCACTTTGCATGAAGAAGATATTTCAAGTAGTACATGATAGATTTTGATGGTATTTTCAAATCAGAGTAATCTTAATGTCTCAGAAGTGAGAGAAGGCGGCAGTGTAAGGGTTCAAAGCTACATGAACTAGATTCCAGGTTATAGATTTCAGGAGAAAACTTTATCATTTCATTGAGTCACATAACAAACAAGAGTGTGATTCCCTGGATAGAGTAAAATTTGTCTGTGAAATATGATCTTTGTGAGGATCCTTCCAATGAGATGGGCTCAATATTAATAAGGTTTTTCCTGGACCTGAGGTTCAGACCAAGGTGCCAAAGAGTTGACAATTCGAATGAAGAAACTTATGTTGAATCTTTAAAAATTGCTATGAAAACCCTTCCTACAGTTAAGTGGGTAACTATAAGAAAGGTATCTCATTGCCAAAGAAATGCAGTTATCAGTGACTGGGTTGGAAAAGGATGAGTAGAGAAGTTTGGAGAATTTCTTAGTTATTCAGAAATTATGTCTTTGATCCATTGTTCAGGGGAAACATTTAAATTAATTGTACGTATCAATATTCTTGGACTTGACGTAAGTGCATGACTGATTTTGAGAGTATAGATAGGATGTAAAGTTCCTAATAAGTCAGTACTATTGTGTAGTTCACTGTGAAAAGTAAACTTCCTAATTTTCTAAATTGAGTCTGTATAGGGGCAAAATCTGTAACTGTGTTGCTGCCTGCTTCAGTGCAGGGTAAATTCTGAGCTTTGAAATGGTTGGCACAAAACAACATGAAAAAAATCTAAGAGGCAACCAACTTCTGAATTTTCCTTATTTTCTTTGTTTCTATTTGTCAAAGAGCTCCTTTTGCCTTGGATTGGAACTCAAATTGTAAAAAGAATGTAGGTTTGTCCTGAGAAAATTTAGAACATCCTGGAAGCTCTATGTGACTGTGGCTTGTAAATGGTTTTATAAAACAATGTATTGTTGTAATACTTATAAAACGTAAAGGGAATGGCAAAGCTTTCTTATCTTTGGTGAAAATGATGTGCTAGGGTCCTTCAGGTTGATCAATTTCTCCCTCCTCCTGGTGTCCAGTGCAGTAATTGAGATCTTTTCATGGAGTTGCTACATGAAGTGACTTGAGATGGATCTTTGAAATAGGGTTATTGATCAATTTTTCTGATTTACTCCTTTAGTGGTGCTGATGTATCAGAATGTGCTTAAATGTTTTTGATTGCTGAGGAGGCTATTTTGACCTATCAAGTTTAATTAATGTTTTTGAATATGATACTACCATTGATGTTGCTTTGGAAATATCTGTGCAAGTTCTAGTAGTGGATTAACACAGATAGCAGTAATGAAGCACACAATTTTATTTTTTTTCCCCCTAACAGAATGCAAGTTGTGCCAGTTAAATTAGTACATCCTATACTCAAAACCATTTTATGCATGTGCTGTTATTTCTACTGTGGGATGGTGTGACTTGCCTTTGAGGCAGGGCAATCAGATTTGTTGCTGAAGGATCCCTTGGGGTGGATTAAAGTAGAAAACCACTAAATAATTGGTATAACAACAAATTTTATTAGAACTGCTTTGAAGCTATACATGGAAAACACTGTAATGGATTTGAATGGAAAGGAGTATATAGCTATTCTGAAGTGTGTGATCACCCTAAGGAGGAAAACTGTAAAGAAAAAAGAGGAGAAAAGACAAAGATAACCACCACCTGTGGCTACAATGAGGTGTGGGTGATTGTGGTCTGTGGTTGTGATATGCAGTAGGAGTCTGTCAGAGGTGGAGGCCTGCATAAGCATCAAAATTTGGGGTTTTTATAACCCTCATCTTTCCAGTAAACACCCAAATACCTCCTCCAGGAGGAGTTCCAGACATGTACAGTCTTCTTTCTTGAAGATCATGGAAATCCGGCAGTGCCAAGCAGGGGTGTGAGAGTGTGTGTTCAGGGGTTGGACAAAGTTTCTAAACAAAGGTTCTGAGTAAACTTTCAGAGTTTTGCAGCTTATGATGAGTGAAACTGTCATAAAAAAACCCCTTACCCTGCCTGTGCAGTTAAATTGTTTAACAGCGGTTTCTCTTAAATCTAAACTAGCTTTTTTAAGGCAAAATTTAGTCACAAAATTTAAGTGGTTCACTGCAGATGGTGTACTCATGTGTATGCAGAATAGGCTTGATCTCTTGCTTTAATACCGCTGATTTGGTGTCTAGTAGTGTTTGTGAATACTATAAACAAGATCGCACATACAATGTCATATAAGAATTGCAAATACTACAGAGTAGATTTTAGCTCCATATGACACACTGGGGTTTGGGAATTGTTGATTTTTACTGTCTTGTTGGAGGTAAAACTTTCATTTCATAAAATCATAGAATTTAAATTTCAGGAAACTGGGCCATCTTTTCCCTTTTTGAAATATTTAGCATAATTATAATAAATTTAAATTATTTGTCTTTAGACTTTCCTAGATGAATGTGTTTTGTCTGCATAATAAATGAGTTACTGTGTAATAGTAAAAACTGCGATTTGAAAAGTAACAAAACAAAAGTATTGCAAAGAATCACACAGAGCATTTGGACATGCTTTCTTCTTGTTAGAATAAATGTAAAACTGTATAGTTGACATCTTGGAAGGGTTGTCAACTGCTCAGTATCGTTATCTTAGTTGTTCCAACAACTTTGTGCATAGGATACGTTGTGGTGCTTTTTTTAATTAAGGCTTCAGAACTGACTAAATAATACCATTAAAGCAAAATCTTGTGTGATTAGATTCAATATTTAAATTTAAAGAACAAACAATTCAAAAGCATATGCATATTAAATCATAAACTAGAAATGCAGCTAAGAGCTTCCTTGTTGTATTTATGGCAGGGTATAATTGTAACTTGCTTGGAAGCACAGCTGCTGGTTCAAACCTGCAGGTTGCTTTAAGCTGAGAATTACAGCCTGGTTGGGGAATGTCTGTGCACGGTTATTCTGCTTTTTATGACTGTGAGTTACTGGGCAAAGACTGAGACAAAACATATGGACCTTCAATCCTACCATGAATGACCCTTCCTGATGAGCAAAATTGGGAATGTTTTAATGATCCAAGTCAGGGAGTTTGGGGAAAAGCTCTTTGCACACGCTTTTTTCATTAAAAAATAAGGAAAGCATTTCTGAAAGTGACTAAGATCTTCTACAGAAATGTCACTTGAAAATATGGTATTACATTTTTATTACTATTATATATTATCTCTGTAAACAAAAATGGGAGGGCAAAAATTCTTAATGATATTTTTCTGTCTTAGACACCATACAAATCCACCAAAAGATCAGGAAGAGTGATGGAAAAACACTACCTTGGTGTTCTTCAGGGGAAAGTGCTGTAAAGCAAAATTCTGTAACAGCGATGATAATTCAAACAAGTACTGAGCCCTTTGGAGATGATTGTGCTGTGAACAGGACTACTGAAGAACAACTTCACAGTGGTGAGGATAAAAATGTAGATGTGATAATACAGACAGGCAGGGAGCACAGCACTTCAGGCTTCTCCAGTCAGGAGCAGAGAGACCCAGGTGGAAATGTGATGGATATATTGAATTGGGCCAGACCTCTTCCTGCTCTACTTTCTCCAGTACAGCTTTCACCACTTACTACACAGGTGAGTTTCAGGATGCGTCTGACTTGGCACTTAACTTGGTCTTAAAATTACTAAAGATACTAAAGAAATAATGATGTTTTGTTTGTTTGGTTGTTGTTTTTTTTGTTTGTTTGTTTGTATCAGTATTACTTACTCATGCACTGAAAAGGTCTCTGTGTGCTTAGATCTGTATGGATACTTTAACCTTGTGGCATATGGTTATGTGAGGAAGGGAGGATGCTGGGGAGAATCAGAAGAGTAAAAGTGAGGAAGCAGGATGCTGGGGAGAATCAGAAGAGTAAAAGTGAGGAAATGTGTGGGTTGAGATAAAGACAGTTTAATAGGAAAAGCTGCGCATGCAAGCAAAGCAGAACAAGGAATTCATTCACTCTTTCACATGAGCAGGCAGGTCAACAGGATTCCATCATGCATAATGGTGACTTGGGAAGATAAATATCATCAGACCAAATGTCCACCCTTCCTTCTTTTCCTCTCTTTATATGCTCAGCATGATGCCATAATGGTATGGGATGTCTCTTTGGTCTGTTGGAGTCAGCTGTCCAAGCTGTGTCTCCTCCCAGCTTCCCATGCATCCCCCTAGTGCTCTCACCAGTGTGCCGGTAGGAGAAGCAGAAAAGCCCTTGATGCTGTGCAAGCACCACTCAGCAATAATGAAAACATTTCTATATTATTAACACCATTTTCAGCACAAATCCAAAACATACCCCCTTTTCTGTGAAGAAAACTAACTATCCTAGCCAAAACCAGTATACAGTCACCTATGTCTCAACTTGCTATCATAATTTCCTAGTGGTGTAGACCTTAAGTCCCAATTTGTGTTCAATGTAAGCTTGGCTTTCATAGCAAAATTCCAGAGCTTGAAAGTTAGATTCTGCTCAAATGCTCTTTTCCGGTAATTTTAGAATGCAAGTAGGTAGATAAAGAAGTCTCCTATTTTTACAGAGGTACTTTCATTCACTATGAAGATCAATGGTGGAGAGGGTTGTAATTTTGTTGACCAGCCTTAATCTCTCAAAACCATTGCATGTCAGGGCCTTAAGTGTACTTGCTTAGAAAAGTAGGTCCTAAAACTGATACTAGGGTTCAGATTATTAACTTTGCTTTTTTTGATTGAAGGATATGTTCTTGGGAGAAGTCACAGGTTCCAGTGATGAAGAAGATGATTGCAGTACTTCTGCACTGGAGGATATTTTACAAGAAGACCAAGTTCAGCCTCTGAGTTGTAATGTAATCAGCCCTGGTGATGAGTGTAACAGACAGTGCAAATCATGTGAGCATGGTTTTGATGCAGAAATCTCACTTAATCTGAGTTGGAATGAAAAGAATATTCATATCAGTCCTAAGACGTCAAGGAAGGAGAGAGATGCTGAAAGAAAGCAAGCCGAAGGTGCTACTCTAATGACAAACATGGTAACTAACAAATATTGTTTGGAGGAGAATTCTGGGGATGTGGAAACTGAGAACAGAAAACTAACTGGAGCAACAGCACACAAATTGGGAGACATGGAAGAACAGAAAGGAGATGGTGAGGACATGAACAGTGAAGAGGGAGATTCTTCAGTAGATTTTGTGTTACAAAGTTTCAAGTCTCAGAATCAGATAGAAAAATGTAGTGTGGTAGAGCAAACAGAGGAGAATGTAACCTTAATTAGAGCTGTTGATAATGAGGGTACACATGAAAAATGTGGTGAATTAGTAAATGTAGAGAGAGATAAATTAGTAGCACAGAGAGAAGCTTCCAGAGAAGCATCTGTTCTGCAGAGTGTTTCTCATTTCCTATCTAAGCAATGCATTGTGCTTCAAAGAGAAGATGCTGAGGAAAAATCTGATGAGTTGATAGAAAATGAAGTGGTTGAAAATAAATCAAAAAATGCAGTCAAATTAACTAATATGACTGGAGCTATTGAGATCTCTGCACACTCTCAGTGCTCTGAAATAAAATATGACAGTGAAGAGATTCTGGAGAAACAACATATGCACACAAAAGACAAAGTGAACAGAGAATGTGAACCAGAGACTGTTCAAGTCTCTAGGCATTATTTACCTGTATCTGCTACTGAAGGAATCAGAACTTTGTCAGTCTTTCCAAATGATGAACACCTCAAAATTGAAGACATGAATATAACCAGAGCTCTAACTCCTGAACTACCTATGAAATTTAACAGAGGAAGTGTTCTAGAAATAGCTGAATTGTCAGAGCTACTCCATAGTGCAGAAAATGTAAAACTAGTAGATATAAAGGAGGTGGTAGGTTTACAAAGCAAACCACATCACGAGGAAGATGGTAGTAATTTATCTCAAAGGAAGTCAAACTTAGAAAATATACTTTCACTATCAAAGACAGCATGCATTATTGGTGCAGAAAGCAGTGTAGCTAAGTGTGGATCTTCTGCATTAGATTTTACAGAAGTGAAAGGTGAAATAAAACAATCTGAAAACTTATGTAAGACATTAGAATGTGGGCAGTCCAAATCTCAAAACTTTAGACTGTTTGAATCTCTAGAGACTGAAGTCAGAGTTAATCCAGAAGATTGTGGAGGGGAAATCAGTGAGTTGTTAGCAAGAGGGGATACAATTGAATCTATCTTAAGAGAAAGTAATCCCATTTCTCAGGAACAGTGTGCAAAACCTCTGACTCAGCTCTTGATAACTGAAGATTTTAAATGTGATGAAATAAAAGGGAAATTAAATAAACAAAGCAAGGAATTGGTGACTGAGACTTGCTTCAGTTCACTGAAGCAGGAAAAGAATGTTTTGAAGAAAAATGATATTTTGGAGATCATTTGCCATCCTACTTCAGAAATGGAATATAGAAGTGGCTTGGCTTTTTCTACTCAAAAGGACTTGGAGAAATGCTGTACAAGTAATGAGGAAACCAATTCTCCTGTGCAAGTGGGAATTGGCTTGGAATCCACAAGATCTCCGGATCTAAATTTCAGTCTTCAGAAAGTTGTTAGTTTCCTTGAAACTAACTTAGCAGGAAAGGCTGCTTTTTCCTGTACTTGGGAAAACAAGGGACAAGATTCCATTATGAGTAGTATATTTAACTGTTCTTCAGATAACTTAGAAGAGGGTGCTGAGATTCTGTCTACTGAACAAGTCAACATGGGCAAAGAGCCAGGTTGCCCTGAGAGAGAATATGTACACAAAAATGAAGAGAAAACTTCAGATAAGGAGCAGTCAGTAGATAAAGAACCTCAAGCATCTGTTAAATCTCAGATCATATATGCAAACACTTATAAGAAGAATGCTTTTCTCCAAAAGTTTGATTGTCAAGAATCGGGATGCAGGACTTCTATGTGGAAGGTTAGAACAGGTCCTTCTAGAATTTATTCACTAACAGGTGGGAGAGAAAGTAAAGAACTGAATAGTTTTGTGGGTTCTGGGAAAAATGCCATAATAAATTGTAAAAGTGATTTTGATATGCCAGAGCAGAGCAATGACTCTGAAGAAAAGGACTGTTCTATACAAAAAGTTAAGTACGTGAAGTGTTCTGAATGTGTTCCAATGTTTAGAAACAAACTGAGAGCTTCCAGCAGAATTGCATTGGGTGCTCTGGAAACCGGTGCAATTGTTGATGCTGATTACCAAGTATGTGAACTTCATTCAATGATGCACCCAGGAAGTACTTTCACAGTTAGTCACCTAAAAGCAGACACTGTCGTGGGTATGAATCCACAGTGTGAACCAAATAACTCTGGAGATACTGCAAATGAGTGGTCAAGTGTGACTGGGGAGAGTTGTCCTGAAGACTCAGCCTCTTGGAAAACAGAATGTATATTAGTAACCTCTCAAAATACTGAGAGTGCTAATGAACTCATGCAGTCTAACATAGCTGGATGCATCAGTCACAATGAGGAAAGTCTATTAAAATCTGGAACATCAAAAGAAAGCCTTGTGACGCCAAATGCTTCAAAAAATAGGTTGCCACTATGCAAGATGTTAAGCAGATTCTCAGAAAATTGCAGGCTGACTGTAAAAACCAGTAAATTAAATGCAAGAATGCTAGCACTTGGCAATTTCTTAGAAGAAAATGATTTTGCTAAACTTCAGTCAAATGGGAAACAAGGTTTATTACACAGTGTTGATACGGGGGTCTCAGTGTTTGAAGAATATAATAATAATAATCAAACTGCTTACAATACAGGAGAAAGCAGCACTGATGTTATCATAGATAGTGGTACAAAAAACATTTTACTCAATTATCTTCCAAGTCCAGCCCTCTCTGATGTAAGGTGCAGTTGTCAAACAGTTGGTCAGCTTTCTGAACCACAAAAGACAGTATTAGAGAAGTTACATATGGTGGAATCAGAGTCTTCTGCTCTCAAGAAGAGCAATAAGTGGAAGTGTAAAGAGCAAGAACCATCTGAAATGTTGACTGTTTCTGCCAAAACAACTGCCCAAGTAATGCATACCAAGCTATCAAAGAAACTGTTTCAAGGTAAAAGAAAAACAAAGACTCTTAAAGTTACCCAGCCAGTTCTTGCAAATGCTAATACTTCTGTGGCAAAAAAATGCTCATCTGAGATGATAAATAAAATCAGGGAAGAGATAGGTCCTCCTCTGCCCCCCTTGCTACTGCCTCTGATTGCTACTCCTCCAAAAACTGCCTGTACTGTGTCCCCAGTAATGTCTTCTACAGGTCAATTCTCTCTGCTTTCCCCTCTTGATGATCTAATATCCCCACTATGCAAAACTCCTGTTCTTCCTCTCATGTCCCCATTAACAGATACTCCAGCAGTAAAATCTGCTATTTTATTTTCTCCTCCCTCACCCTCAGAAATGGCAGTAGGTAGAAGGATTCGCTCCTCACCTTTGAAATTTTGTACTTCCATTCCAAAGCATGCACTTCCCGTTCCAGGAAGATTTCCTCTCTTTGCAGCAGTTAGTGCTGGTCCAGGTGCCCTTCAGGAGAACTCTGTGAAAATATTGGACACTATGTATCCAGAGCTGTCTGCAAGGGCAAGGACACTAAACATTCTGAAAGGCAATATTCAGCTTAACCGATGTACTTTTTCAGACAGCCAAAGTTTTCCAGGACCTGTGCCTCAAGTAGGTGGATTCAAAGCAATTGCATCTACATCAACTGCTTTTCTTAAAGCTGGGAGCAATTTGAAATCTGATAGTGGCAAAGATGAAGACAAAGATGTGCAAAATCAGCAATTCTTTTCAAATCATCTTGGAAAAAGGACGCTACTGCAGGTATCTATGCCAAGAAGTGCCAAAAGACTGAGGCTGGAGAGTGAACCACCAAGGATGGAGCCTAGTGATGTTACTGCTGTCAGAAATACTAAAAATACCATCTCTGAAATGCAGGAGGCTTTCCATGGTATAAGCTATGAAATCAGTGATTCATCACAGTGTTCCAATTTAGAAGAATCACTACCAGTAAAGAAGGATTCTGAGTGCCAGAAAGTTTCTTTGGCATTAAAGAAAGTTGCTGAATCCTGTTTTGACTTGTTACCAGTTATCAAAGGTCATGTGTATGTTGGTAATATCTCAAAGATTCCAGTAATGAGAGATGAAGAGAGAGAAGTTGTCTATGAATTTGGTATAAAAAACAAGGTAAGTAGCATAATTTTAAATTTTGTTGTTTAATAATCACTTCTGTGTAGATGGAAAGAGTCTAAGTTTGTAGTATTTGAATTCTCAATTGTTGTGGCAATGTCCTGTGCCAAAGTGTAGTCTTGAAAGGTTATTAGAAATCTAAATTTTTATAACATAAGAAAATACAGAACTGCACAAGAAATTACTTTTCAGTGGTGTCCAAGATGCAAAACTGCAGTTATAAATACATATGCTTTTCTGATGTGTGCATAAACCACTTTATTTTTGCAGCATTTTTTGAAGTGGACAGTATTAACAGTTGTAGGAGTTTTTCCAAAATTACTCTAATTTTTTAATTAAAAAAATAAACTTTAATCTATATACTGGTATATAATTTAGTTCTATGTTTACCTTTACTATTCTACATCAGGTTATCAAATTTAATTTTATTGGAAAATTCTTCCCTTATTTCTCAGAACTTCCTTAGCATCAGTGCTGAAAAATTTTGCTTCAGTTGCCATCTTTCTCATAGATAATTTGTAGTTTACAGCAGAGCAGTTCACTGACTAGTACATGGCAGCATTTTGTCCTGTTACAGTCCTGGTACGTAATTAAGTTCTCCTTAGAAGTTGCTACCAAGATCTCAGACCTCTTTGTTAGGAGTTGTCAAGTCTGTTAAGTTCATAGAAGCAAGGCTTGTAGCTTTATGTTTTCAGGTCCAGCCAGTAGCAAGCCAGAGTACACACTCCTAGTAGAGAGACATGCACACAGTACACACCTACTCTTATTCCCTTGTCTGGTTAGTCAGGTTGAAATCCTGGCAGAGGAAAATACATTCGTATATATACAGATAATATGGATTCCCCCAGCAGCTAACATTAGGCACTCAGTATATTCAGTAGGTGACTGATATTCTTCTAACTTCTCATGTACTGACAAACTTAGAGACACAGAAGTATACACACATTCCTCCAGCAGCTGGTCTGGACTTGTGTCTGGGCCTCAGACTTGTGGTCTTTCAGGTGGCTGGCTTAGATCTTCTGGTTCCTCCCAAAGTTAACACTCAGAATCCCTGTGGTTCACAGCTGCCCAGTCTGAACTGTGTACTCTCCAGCACCTGGCTCCTAAACCTCTCATTCTACTCCCCACTTTGAGGTCTCCCTCTAAGCATCCCCTAATAAGTCATGCACGCTCTGCACAAACTCAATGTTCTTTTTCCTTGCATCTCATATTAAGTCCCATGTTACTATAGGCAGCAACATCTCCTCCCCGTCTCCTGCAGTGTGTACAGTGATCTGGAGAAAGACTGCCGTTAGCTTTCCTAGTAAATCTCACACCTGAACAATGGGCTGTTTGTCCTTCTGTGACATCTTTGGAAGTAGCTAAGTCAGGGTGCTTACCTTTGCTCTGATTAGGTTATTTGGTTACTCTACCTGTCATTATTCCTGTCCTCGTTCCTTCTACTTGTCATTATTCTCCTTGTTCTTAGAGGAAGACTGTTGTTAATCACATAAACAAACAATTTATATTAAAACAGTAGTAGCCCTGTTCTTCATTTGTTTATCGCATGTTTATTCTGGGAAGTTGCCTGCTCCTCCCTCTTTTTTCTTTCACTGGTTGCCTCTGATTTACTTTCCTGCGTTTTATATATATGCAAACAGTATTCTTGCAAATAAGATAGTAGTTTTTTTACTTGTTATACGACTACAGTGTTGTCAAGTATTCTTCAGTATGTAACAGTCTAACAATATATTTTGTGTCTTATAGCATTTAGCAGAGTCCTTGCTGTGTGTTATTCTCAATAAGCTGAAGGCTCAGAAGAATGCCCCAAATTATAATTTCAGTCAGGCTTTGTGTCGACTCTATGCAGGAATTTGTCGACAGTTGGGAGATTTGGAAAGAGCCCGCCTTTTCTGCTATAGTCTACTTAAAGAAGGTATAGTGTGGTTTAGTGGCCTTATATTGTAAATGTGCTGTGTGTCTTTGCTGCAGTGTGTCAGAATTATTATGTTTGTAAAAACAAACAGAAATCCTGTTCAAGGGTTGTTTTCCTCTTCAAGGCTTGTTTTCCAGAATTTTTTTCTGTAATGCAGAAATATAGACTGTTCTAGAAGAAATTCTCCTTCTCATAGTTCCACCACATCTGTACTGTAGTTTTGTGGTGACCTGGGCTCTTAGTAGTCTACTTAATTTTCCAAGGAAATATTTAATTTAGGACACTCTGTGCTTTCATTTCCTCACCATCTCCAAAATGATAATGTGATTTCTGTGAATTTCGTCCTTTTAGCCTATTAGTATTTTCTTATTTTAATTGAGTAGGTATTGATTCATAAAGTAAGTGTGATTTAAAACCAGGTATTTAACACAGTGTCAGGAGCTGGACAATAACTTGATCAAAACCAGGATATTTTTATAATATGTCCTCCTTAAAATCTTTTTACTTTCTGTTATCCAAATTCTTGCTTTGTTGAGAAGTTTTTTCCATTTTCATTCCCTTCCTTTGCTCCCCTGCCTTTTGGTCACAGGAACAAAGTTAACACATATGTACTATTGCAAAGTTAAGAATCTTAGTTTTGGAAGATTAAAACTCACTAAGTTTGAAAATAGTATACTGGTATCTGTGTTTAACATTAAAATAAAATTCAAGAGCACTGACAAGCAAAGTGCTAAAGCTTGAGATTGTTTCAATTACTTGCTATGTTTCATATAACGTTCCCATCTTTTTTTTGTTTTAATCTTAAAAAGGTTTGTGATTTCATTTTGTTCTTAGTTACCATTTTTTGAGGGGCTGTAATATTTTTGTTTGAGTTCTTTTTCAAATTCCTGTTCTCCCCTCTGTTTTTCTATCCTTCAGTCTGTTATAATTCTACTTTTACTTCTTTCATGTTAATAGTTTTAATACTGCACCATGTTAGAAACTATTACTTGTCAGATATATATTTTCTGCATCTAAAATAATAATTAAGCTTTTTGTTTTGCAGTATCTTACTGTTTTTTCTTTTTGTGGGCTCTTGCAAATATTAAACATTTCCCCTTTTTTCCTTTCTTTTTCCTTTCTAAGATCCAAACTTTAATAGCTTAATGCAGACTTTTATTGGATTATTTTATCTTCTATACATTGAATTGCATAAGTTTCTATTGTCATTGTTCTGTGGTTTTATAGTAATTTTTTGAGTGAGGACAGCTGTAAACACATCTTAAGTTCTGTTTAGGCATTTTAAAATTTGTTTGGTTTTATTTGATTACTATGCATTTATTTTTGGGTTTTCTCTTTCATGTAATTTCACATATTCCCATCAGAATTATTGCAACCCAAGCTACACAATTACCAGATTCACTATGAACAGTCAGTATTGCTTCTTTAGACCAACATCATTTGTTGTCTTGATAACTTGTCCATCGTTTTTCTTCTGTTCTCCTTTCAAGTGTTCTGCCTTAAGTGACTATAAATAAAATGTTACCTTTCTGGTTAATTTTCCTTTCACCTCTCCTCTGTTCCCTCCCTTTTTTCTTTTTTTAATTTTTTTTTATGCCCCTTGAACTCTACTCATTGTTGAGTGAATTTTATAAGTGTTTCAAATTCCTGGGCAGGCAATTCTAGTTGCCAGTAATTCTAGTTCACCAGCAGTCCTGATAGAAAAAACTGAATTCTTCACATGATGAGCAGCTTCAGAGTAGAAGTTCCATCCAAAACACCTCATTGAAGTGTATATCCTTTATGTTCATTAACGCTTCTTAGTTTGATATATTTTGATATGTTTTCTAGTACTTAAGATCTTTCAAAAAATGTAGATGTTATGCTGAAGTGAAAAGTGAATTCAGCTTTTAGATTTCATTGTTTTTTGTATTGTGTTTCAGGCATATGCATTCCAGTATAGCATTTCATGCATGGAAGTAGTATCTGCTTTTTTACTTATTCCAGTGTATTTGTTATTGCTTGCAATCTACACATTCATGTTTTATCTTAGTATTTTGCCTTGAAGCTCTCAGCTTTGGTATTCAGAAGGGTCTTTTGGGTTCCCACTGATGGTCTGGAACTGTCCTGTCAACAGATAGTTGTCAGATACTTGCTCTGAATTACTTTATTGAATGAGGATTCTTCAATTATATGGAGTAGCACAAATTTTTACATGTATGGAAGTATAAATAGTAGCATGCAACATTCATATATGCTTACATACAACTTGCATAATATGCAATTTCTCTGACAAAGTCTGGGAAAACTGCTGAGGAATATCAGATTTGAATTATGTGAAAGTTCTTTGCAAGCTTTATATATATATATCCAGATATATAATTACATATAATTTCACAGGTGTATGGGTGCAAAGTATTAGCAAGCACTGTAGATTTTTGTTTTTTTACTAATTCTAGTTTGGCCCAGTGATCAGAGTGCTTATTTGTGACTGGAATGTATTAGGTAGGTTGTTGGAGTGCATCTTCCAGTCTAATTGAATCCTAAAAGAATCCAGTTTCAATGCTCTAAGACCACTCTCCTTAGTGAACTAAAGTGAAGTAAGAAAGATGAAGGGAGAGGGAGTGAAATTACAATGGGGGAGGTGGCTTAAGGTTTGTTGGGGTTCTGCTGGTGTTTCTTGTTTGTTTTTTTTAATTGGATATTTTCTTCTTATTTAGTCTCAGGACTGAGATGTGCTAGTATGACTCCCTTCCCTTAGGCTTCAGTTCTGATGTGACTTCTGTGCCTTTTTTCCTAGTTACCTTGCTGAATGCACTAGCTTTTAATGCCAAAATATATTCATTTTTGTGTTTTAAAATGTTAAAAATTTACTTAATTATTTCTTTTTTTCCTTAGACTATCCAGACTCAGAAAAATTGATTTTATTTATCACAAATGTATGGTCTGACATATTTGTCTTCCAAGGTGCAATTAACAAAGCTATGCAATTAGTTGTCAGGAGGAGTGCAAGCAATGAGATGCTGGCCTGTTTAAGTGCTTATCTCAACTGGGAAGAGGTAATGTCTGATTTCATTGTCAATATCATCTTTTGTCTGCATTGGTCACTTTGCTGGCTGAATCAAATCAAGCAACTTTCTTTTCTAATGAAAGGTGTGAATATCCCATGGAGGCTGTACAGCTGCACAACTAATGCTGCTTCAGGCATTTTCCCCCTAGTTGTCTAGACCCTACTAGAATACAATACTTTTCTTGTTTTCCCATCTACTGAACATTAAAAGTAAAAGTTGTTTTTAAACTTTTAACTAGAGCATTGTTGGACTAGGGAATTCCTTCCATCTTTGGAACTGTTCTTTGAGATGTTTCTTTCTTTTGCTTTATATTGTTGCTTTTTAAAATATGTATTTGTTTTGTCTTTTGTAGTTCTCTGTGTAACAGGTAATATGTTACTACAGTTATTTTCAAGATGAGCTTGTTTCTTTTTACTCATGATCTTTTTGCAAGGTAGACTGTAAATACTTGTTTATCACAAAAAACTCAATTACTTAAGCAGCTGGTGTGATTAATACAAAACCAGTGATACCAGGAGAAGGATGATCAGTGAGAGCTGACTTCAAGCCTTTTAGCATTCGCCAAATCATTCAATTTCTATCAGTTTTCAGCAGGCACATATTACCATCCTGAAAAGAATGTTGCAAGAAAGGAAAATTGAAATAATTGGGAGCAATTTTATATCATGCAAATGGAAAGCCAGAGGTGCTTTGCTTCTAAAGGAGTTTGTGTAACAGGCTGGTGTGTCTGTTTAAAGGCTAGGGCCCCATATATTTGAAAACTCCATATTAATGCCAGGCTTGCTTCCTGGAAATTAAATAATTTTGTATATATCAAGTGAACAAAATCATATTGATTCATAGCTGTCCTAGTTGCCAAAAGGGAGCATGGCTAGGACTTGGAGATTAATTCTGTACCACCTCACATCATTACCAGGGATGTGGGGAAGGGGGTATCTTCCAGGGAGAATGAGTCCCTTCCAGGCCAGCATAGTGTGGTGGAGGGAGAGGTTGTGTACTGTTGTTTCCATGTGAATTGTTGGTCTCTCTTTTGTACCCTCCATCATTAGTATTTATTGTTATTACTGTTTGTATTCTTATCTCATTGCTGTTTCCAGTAAATTGTTCTTCTCTCAACCTGTGATCTTTATATTTGTGCCTCCAATTCTCCTCTCCATCCCGCCACAGAGAATAGGAAGGGAGAGGAGGGAGGAAGCTAGCTGTGCTTGGTTTCAGTGAGAGCACTAATCTGGAGAATACCATTCCTAAACTATGACAATAGCTCATCTATTCCCTATCCTAACATGCTGCTCTACAACTGCCTTGAGGAATGCAGTAGTCTTACTGCTGTCGTCATAGCCTTTCAGTGTTGTATGATTTTTTTTTTCTTTAATCTCTGAAACCAGCCCTGAATTTAATTTGGTATTACTGAAATTACAGCCCCCTAAACCTGCTTTAGTGCAGGAGTGAATTAATTTGGCATGGATTTGTATCTGGTTTTTTTTACTATTATATCACAGTTGTGATGTAGCATTAATCTCTGGTATTCAGTTACACTGTGCTGCAGTCCCTGTTTAGCAAAGAATTTGTATTCTCCATTCTGTTAGGTTACAGCTTTTAGTATCATGCCAGTAGAGATACACATAAGAATGTCCTAGTAAATGTTCCTGGAAATATTAATTCTTTGCACTCACACTACCTACTTTATTAATGGATCTCTGAAATATGAGAGCTACTGCAGCTGGGGAGAAATACTTCAGAATTTTCTATATTGAAGATAGGAGATGACATCATCCTGTCTGTAAGCTCTGTTTTACTTGGGTAGAAATACAGATAAAAATTTCAAGTAGATTGTGATTAACAGTCTGTTATACATATAATTCTAGGAGAAGATTTTTCTACTTCTGAAAGTAAAGCTCACTTGGGATGGGTATTCATTTCTTGGTCAAAGCATGTCATTTTAGTGCCTTGCACCATGGCACAACTTGTCAATTAGATGAGGTTTTGTACTGAGGAGATCTGCCAAGCACCTATTCTGTTTATGTGATAAGCTTAGACTTTTTTTATATGTCAGATATTCAAAAAATGTTTGTTTTTAAATTTCCTTTCTTCCCTTAGCTGTTTAATTGGCAGAATGGTTTCACATGACATATTTATTTACCTCAACTATTGAAAGTATTTGCTTGCAAATTCTCCCCTAATGAAGAATAAATAGTAATAAATTTTAAAACTATTTATATTAGACTAATTATTAGACTATATTAGACTAATCTTCTTGCACTGGAAAAACACACTTCTTACCTGTAGTGAGAGAAATAAAAATCCCCAAATTGTAGGAGAAGTTGAGAGAGTGGGTGTGAGATCTGTGTGTTTTCTTGTTTGGGTATTTTTTTCCCAAACTCTTCTTTTAGTAAAAGTGTCAGAAAAAATACCTAGTACTTGAAGGTTTTGGTTTATGTACTCTATTTGTTTGTGCTAATTCAACCCAAAAGTTGGATATATGGTGTAAGATGCTGTACACAGTCAGTATCAAATATTTGTAAAGAGTTTGGTTCTGGGCTGGTAATTTTTTATGCATTAAGATAATTACCTTCTAAAATTCCAGAGTTCATCTTTAGATGCTGGTATTATGGTCTCAAACCTGCTTTTAGAAATGCAGTCATGTACAAAAGTAGAATTTCACCTGAGTGAGCAGTATGGAGAAGATCTCAGTGAAGATGCTTGGCAGTATATATTTGCTGTTGATTTACTCTGCTCTCATATGAAGTGGGATTGGACACATGATAACGTTATAAGGTATTGTGGTGATCATGACTTTCAAATGTTTTCCTTTGTGTTTTTTTCTGAGGTTTGTTTTGGTGGTGTTTTTTTGTTTCCCAAATTCATTATGACTTAGCTTTTAACATAATAAAATGTTGCATAGGTATTTAGAAAATGAGGATGTTTCAGCCTGATGAGACCTAGATTACTGTGTATGTGTGCATTATTTTAAGATAGGAGAAATTATCAATGAAGAAATGTAGTATTTTATGGTATTGTCCCAAGAAATGAACCCTGTTAGAGCTATTCTAGTAAAGAATTGCTTTCAAAATAGCTGTATAAGATTTTGAGATTGTCTGTCAGTGAAGCAAAGTGATTGTCTTCTTCTGAACGCACTTGTTGAATTCCCCTTCCCCCACTGTAGAAAATGAAGGTGGAATTTCTGATATGAAAATAACACTGCTTATGTGCTGGAAGTGAAATATATCCATACTCATTAATGTATTATGTTGATTTCAGTCTGATTTTAATTCTAAAATAATTATAATACTTAGAGTCAATGTCTTAATTTTTCTTTGAACCTAAAATCCAGGATATGGACTGCTACCATACTTAACCTTGTTTGAAAGACTCCATTTTGACTGCTACACTGATCTGACAGCCTTGATTTTCCCTATAGAGGTTACATGACTTAGGAGACATTTGTTTATCTGTGACATAACATAATAAGTGATACTTATAATCATCGTCTTGTATATAAATTCCATACCTTCAGATAGTAAAGAAGATTTTTTTGTTGAAATACTTTCAGAATTAATACAAAATAGCTTCAGTGAAACATATGTAGTCTTAATTAAAGCCATTCCAAGATGATTGTCTCTTGAGTTGTGCTGGTAATAGGACCTAGGTAACTAGGTCTAGACCTAGACCTAGGTAACTCTACCTAGACCTAGGTAACTAGGTCTATCAGCATAATTTTAAGGATTAAAAAAGTCTTACTTTGGGTCATTTTAGGTTTAAAAACAAGCATCACATCCTACTCGTAAAAAACAAACTGAATTTTCAGTCATATAAGAAACTTACAGAACATATCAGCATGACATTTGAAAGCAACATGATTTCATATACATTTGTCAAGTCAGTCTACGTAAAGTTAGTAACAAACAAAAGAGTCATTTGTGTATGAATACTATAACTACCCCTTCATGCAGTATGAGATTTTCAAATTAATTTTTCTTTCACAGCAAAGTGCTTTGGCCTTCTATGGATAACTGGATAAAGAAGAGAAAGGGGCATGAAACTGCTCAATCAATTCGTGATAGTGTTATAGCATTGACACTCAGGCTAATTGGTAAGTAAACTAAATTCTTGGTTGAACTTTTATTTTGTATAAGTATGTCTTTATGAAAGTGTCAGGCCTATCTGGAAAGGGGGTTGAAGTATTATTGAATTTTATTGGATCTTTTTGCAGGTATTTTCTGTTTATCAGCCTGTGGAAAGAAGGTACTTAAGTTTTCAGAGATGTCATATTGATTCATGATAACAAATACCAACATGTTTTATGTATTTAAAATAAAATTATCTGTAGCCACATATAGAATCATAGAAATCCTGAGTTGGATGGGACCCACTGGGATCATTGAAGTCCAACTCCTACCCTGCACAGGCCAGCTCCAGGAATCACACCACATGCTTAATGCATCTTGAAATCAGACAGGATTGGTGCTGTGACCAGTTCCCTGAGATGCCTGTTCCAGTGCCTAACCAACCTCTGGGTGAAGAATATTTTTCTAATAGCTAACCTAAACCTCCCATGACACAGCTTCATGCCATATAGTTTCCAGCAAAATGTATAAAATGCGGTTTTTTATGCAACTTAATACCATAATAAATTTAAGCTAGATTAATTTATTTGGGATCTAGGTGGCATTTGATGTAAATATATATAATTTGAGTTTCAATAAATATTTTCAGTATGTAGGCTATATGACAGGGTTTATTTAAAAAATTGCATTCTTTCTGAGTTTTACACTTAAAAATTGTAAACCTATAGGAGGTTGAATCAGTCTGATGAAAAATGCATTGGGGTCTTCAGTTACACAAGGAATAAGACAACTGTTGTTCCGAAGACAACATGGTAACAGGAATTTTTTGTAGTTAAAATTTACATTTTCTGTTGATATTTCAACAGACAGACAGACAGTTGGGAAGTATAAAAGCTGGGAAGTTGACTGTCTAAATAGTCAGATATGTAGTAACACTTTTTTTCTTTCAGGTCGATTAGGACAAATAGGTTTGAAGGAAGGCTATCTTGCTGCAGTGAAGAATATTAGTTCAGTAATTGGACTGTTTGTACAGCATGCAAAAGAGGAAGGTAATGTTCTTTTAGAGGAACTTGAGTGTAACATCCACAATGTGAAGTTCTGCAATGCCAGAATATATTTTAAGGCACACATGGGAAAACAGCCTGCTCTTGCAGTTTTTATTAGTATATAACAGGTCAAACAGTTTTCAGTTTGAGTCCCTTTCTGTTACAAAGTTAATGAGCTATTAACAGTATTACCTTCTGTTTGAGACAGGGGAAAAATGTGAGATGGTTTCAGACACCTTGGAATTGGACTGTTTCATGTAAGAGCCTGCCAGCTGCATTAGAGATCACTTAAAGGGTGATCAAGTTAAGATCACTTGAAGGGTGATTCTAACTTGAGCAGTAATAACTAATTTTTTAACTGAGCAATTTATGCTGAAGCTTACTAATAAAATTGTTGTACTGGGAGACGGACAGTTCAGGGTCCTGATGAGATGAAACAAGGCAGTTAGAGCAGCAGAAATCCACATTGTTAAGTTACTCTGGATGTTAAGTACATTTTGCAGTGAAGCATTTGTTATTGTTTGGGAGCTGTTTTGAACCACCTGTATAACTTCTCTTCCTTGCAATCTCAAGTTCTAACATGGTAGTGTATAGTGTACAGCGTATGCCTGTTTTTCTGACTCAGTGTAAGCCTGACTGCTTTCTTAAGTCTGATTACTCTGAGCTAAAGTCACTAGATTCTTAATTCCTGTACACCCTTTGAGTACTAAAAAGTTGCTGAATTGAGAAAACTGGAAAGTGTTAGTATAAAATGAGATGTTACAGAATTTGTTTGCACGTTGTCATCTTTCTACATTATGGTGTTAGACATCACAACTGCTGATGTGTTTTATTTTCAGTTCTTGAATAATAGTTTCTATAGATTCAAGATTCCCTAAAACATTTTTGCTTATCAAAAAGTATCTATAAGCTGATTTTTGTTAACTTTTTGCAGCTATTCCTTGGGGTGTGCAGCTGGCAGCCGTATATTCACTATGTGACTTGGGTTCAAGCAATCCAGAAGGTATTGTTGAGGCCATCCATACCTGGAGAACAAAAGTTCATGACAACATCCCTTCTGCTATCACAGATGGCATAGCTGAAATCACCTCTCTGTGTGAAATGGAGCTAAACTAGGGAAGTGGACTGATCTAAAGGAAAAAGTGCCTTACCTATTAAGCAGTAGTTGGTTCCAGTTAAGAATCATACCAAGTGGTGTGTCTTCTTGTATTTCATGCTTTTAATCAGAATGTCTGATCATACAAAGCAAGGTCAAGTATTTTATTTGGCTTTTCTGTTTGAAGGAAGAGTTTTTATAAAATAAACAAAAATACTTGCTTTTCCTAGTAGCTGATTAGTGATCTGAAAACGAGTGCATCTTGAACTTCTGATATATTTCTGGTTTGATGACAATAAAAATCAGTAACAGTTTTTGTTTTTCTACCTACATCAGTTTGGAGTATGGACTATTTGACAGAATATTCAGCGTGACTTGAAAACCTGGCTCTATTATTTTGTACTATTTTAATAAAGTAACCATTCAGATAGCAGAACATTCCCCAGATTCTGCTTTATTTTGCTTGGGTTGTCTTATAAACTTAATTTAAAATACTTGTGGAAAACAGGTAGGAATTGACTTTTTTTGTAGCCATTGTGTATGGAGTAACAGATACTAAATCTCTAAACTTGTATATATGGTGTATTCTGATGTGTCTCACATTTGATATTTTTTCCACTTGGAGAATTTTGTGTATGTAAATAGAGTTGGTTGAAAAAAAGTTCATGTTTCTAATGATAGCTTCACTACACTCTGTTTTTGTATCTCTCATAATAAAAGAGATGAATACTATTGTGTTCTTGTTGACCTTTTAAATAACCCAGAGTTAACTGTGTTTCTAGCTTATAAAAATACTGTTTTGGGGGGCAGCAGGAAATTGCCTGTTGAGGTAATTTCATTCACACAGAATGAATTGTCCATAACATTGCAGTTCTGGACATCTCTCCAAAAGTTTCTGGTATGCTTTGGAGGCTTGGGAAGCAGCCTCAAAATACTATTGAAAATTTGTATTTTCACTCTGTGGTTGTGCCCATGTGAAGGGGTGAGCTTTGCTAATGCAGATTCTTATTGTAATGGGACCTAGCTTCTGACAGAGTTTTGTGGTGCTGATATGCATTGTGATTTTTGTGCCTCTTCTAAGTGTGACTATCAGTGGAGTCTCCTACCCCTCTGTGAGTTTCTCTCCTCTGAGGTGAAACTGTGTAGAGCAAAGTGGCCATTGATTTTAGTTGCAGCTATAGCTGCTTGCACTCTGGACATCAAATTAACCTCAGTGAGCTTACCACAGACAATTCAGTCAATGAAAAATAATCTAGTAGTATTGGTGATACCTGTGCACAATAGCCATTGCTACAGATGTCTGTCATGAAGGCTTCCAATTTGCCTCAGGTTGTAACTGTATGATGTCTGGGACTCTGCACATTTTGGTGATTGTGAAGCCTTTGAGGATTTTATGTGTAGCCTTCATTTACCCGTCTTGCACTAAAATGAGTACAAAATATCTGAAGTGGAAGAAGTGAAAAGAAAACACAGGTTGACAATAAAAGAAAGCATGGATCATAAATCTGAAAACTAAAGGAAATGGGATACAGAACAAATAAAAAAACAAAGTAAGAAACAAAGTGAGTAGAGGATCACAGATGCTTCAGTGCAAAAATATTGCAACCCAAAAATCTTTACAGCAAATAGAAAAACCCATTTCCTTTAGAATTTGTATAAAACACTGGCATTTGAAGTATGTGAGATTCACAGGAGAAATACCAGAATTTTCCAAGACAAAAAAATCTAAAACTATACTAATTTAAAACCAAATGAAAAAAAAATTCAACCTACCCTCAAACCATTTTCATGAGAAATATTCTGCTTATGTAAGAAAAATTTTTGTGTGTACTGGAAACATAAAACTGATTTTAATTCTGTGTCCCTCTCTGCTGCCTGCCCAATCAAACTGCATTGGAATAAGTAAATTAGAATAATTGATACCCTGAAGGTGTTTGCTTCTGTTAAATACTAATCACTCATCATTCATCAAAAAATACTTGTAACTCCCACACACAGTGTCAAATTTACCATATTTAAAAAGCTATAAAATGTTGATATCCATAAAGGATAGTGATTTTCAGTATATGGAATGCTTTATCCATCTCAATATTTGTTCAAAATACTTAAGTCCCATTTTGTTCAAAATAGCCATTAAAACAGGGATTTACAGGTTTCTATCATCATTTGCAGATTTTTGCTCTTTTTTTGTTCTCACACAAGTATTGAGCGTGTGGCCTGTCAAAAACGATGTGTATCAGGAAATGTTCAAGTTTCCACTTCCTCCATGCCTTCTCATATTCCTAAACTAAAACATGAAAAACTGTCTTAACTGCTAAGACATTACTGTCAACAATACAAGGCTAGACAAAATGCTAACAGTCAAAATTCATGTTAGATTAAAATACTCAGCTCTAGCAATTCTCCTGACTCAATACAGAAGACAGTAAACATCTATAATAGTTTATTTATAAGGGTAATTCTGACTATAGGCTTCTGAGTTCATAACAGTATTATTTGATATGTATTGACTCCAGGAAAAGAAACTTGTCATAAATATTGGAGAGCAGTGTAACTTTGTCTATGTGTAGATGAACAGGATACTGGAATAAGTTGTTAAAGAAAAAATTTTATTTATCTATTTTTCTTGTTTAGTTGCTTTCATACTAAAACTTATTTTTAGAGTGTCTGAATCCTAACGTTGTACTGGCAGAATTATTTGATTGTTTACTCAGTCATCCATTGCTGGAATACAAATTTTGGACATACATACCACTTATTTGTTTCTGCAAAAAGTAGCATCTTTGGGCTTGGCTATATGTTACGCCATTAGGGTATTTTCCTGGATGATTTTGCCTCTCAAGGTATAGTAGGAAATATTTTTCAGTGTGAATTATTTCTTCATAAAATAAAAAAATGTTGGACTCTAGACTGCTTAAAATTAATCTCTAGTTATTTTATCAAACCCTCTGATACTAATGTATGGTCTGTCCTAGCTTTTGCTTTCACCTGCCTGTTTTGAACAAAAAGGATTTCTCATCTGGACACTAGAATAAAACCAAAGCAGTTGCGAGTTTTCCAGTTTGAAATGACTAATGAAATTATATGATGTACTCTGTTTTAATTAATGAAACTGCATGTATGAGTGGAAACCAGTCCAGAAAACCTGAAGATGTGTTATAAAGAAGCTGAAATTACATGGTTAAAACACTTTGGAGTATCACCATTTAGCTTGCATTCTTCCCACTATACCTCATTTTTCACTTCAAGAAAAGTCAGAGACTACTCTCAAAAGTTGGACAAATTAGCAAGAAGGATTTCTTCAGAGACAGGGTTTGCAATTGCACTGTTACTTGCCTGAATAGGCTGAAGTCTTGTTTTGCAAAATTCTGAAACTCATTTAACTGTTCAGGAGTTTATAAATCCATGAAATGCTAATGATTTTGGGTGCTCTGAGCCCATCTATTGCATTCAATTTAATGCAACTCACATTACAAAATTACTTTTTGGTCTATTTAAGTTCAAATTTAGAAAAAAACATTCTGAAACTTAATAAAAAAAATAGGTAGGTAATGGGAGTTGGAAAGAAAATAAGATAGATATTTATGCAAATGTCCTGGAGTTTGATTATTTTGAATTTTAGTCTCAAATGGCTCAAATTCCTTCAGCTGCCACATCATCCTAGAAATGTCTAAATGTTTGCTACTGAGAATTGCCTGTGTTTTCTAAATAAAACCTGCATCTTGTTGCCATGCTTTGACTAGAATAGAATGAATTCTGACATGGTTTAAGCACCAAGTAGGAGAAAACCAAGTACTTGACACAACTTGTCTCCTGGGGCTTACAGTCACAAGCCTGTCTCCAAAAAGCTTTTGATGATCACAGAATCACAGAATGAACTAGGTTGGAAAAGACTTTAATGATCATCTAGTTCAACCTATGGTCTTACACCTCCTCATCAACCACTAAGTGCCATCTCCAGTCTTTTGTAAGCACGTCCAGGGGTGGTGACTCCACCATCTCCCTGGGCAGACGACTCCAGCACACAATCACTCTTTCAGTGAGGAATTTCTAACATCTAACCTAAACTTACCTTGGTGCAGCTTATGACTGTGCACACATTCTGTCAGTTGTTGCCTAGGAGAAGAGATTGACCCTCACCTGACTACAATCACTTTTCAGGAAGTTGTAGAGAGTGATGAGGTGTCCTGGATTGGCTATATAACGCTTGTATCTCCAACCGTCTGTTCTATTGTGCTGAATAATAAGCTTTGCACCTTTAAGACTTGTTCTGAGAGTGAGGGAGGGGAGAGGAGAAGCGTGCAGTTTGTTTTCAGACACTGTACTCACTCCTCCATATGCCTGTGGCTGGACTGTGTTTTCTGCAGATGGACAGCCAGCAGGACAGAGCTCTCCTTTGCTTTTAGTTTTAGCTAGCTGAGGCAGTGAAGTTCCCTGGACTGTGGTTTGTCTTTTTCTTTGGACCTGTTTAAACCTGCTCTGGACTGAACACCCAGAGGAGCACCGGCAGCTCGCACCTGTGGCCCAGCGGGCCAGGCCTGGGCCGCAGCATTTCCAGTGCTGGGAAGGACTGATAAGAGACTGAGTGAGCCAAGCTACAGCCCACTAAGGAGTTTGTAATTTCTTTTTCTTTCCTTGAAGCGGCAAGAAGTTTTATTGTTTAATATTAATTTTTTGTACTAGTGAATGCTTTGCCTGTTAAATAAACAGCTTTTTCCACTTTTCTCCAAAGAAATTTTTTTCCTGAACCAGCTGGGGGAGGAGCCACTTGAATTTGCTTTCTAGAGGAAACACCTTTAGGGGTTTTTCTCCCAAAATTGCCCAATTGCCTTACCCTAAACAAAGACAAATACAGTTATTAACGCCCAATGTGGAGCTCCAGAAAGTGGAAGAATCCTGTACTGATTACATTTTAGTTGTACTTACTCTATATTGTGATAAAGCAATCAGTAACCATGTTGCTGAAATTCATAATGTCTCTCAGGGTGGAGGCCTTCTTGTATTTCTGATCCCTTAGTTTTCTTGAGGTTTTAATACCTTTCTGGTCCCTAGGATTATTTTCTATCCAAAAATAACTCAAATATTCTCCCTAAAAAGTAGTTTTTACAGTACAGGGACACAGAATAGCTATTTTGCTAATCTCTGTAATAATGATTTATAGAGAGTTTACAAAGGTGTAGGAGAGACATTCTGTGCTGTTCTTGTGAGCCAGCAAAGGCCTCCTGAAGAAAAAGGAAAGCCCCATATCTCTCCTGAGGAAGACACCAAGGTTGTCACCATGGAGATGTGATGAAGGAGAGAAAGTTAAGAGATACAGACTCTAGCTGGTTCACAGAATGAAGTGGCTCCTTGGTCACTCACTGAGAACTTTGTTTCTTTGCTATAACCAATGGGCAGTGAATGTATATGTTGGATGAATGTAAATATCTTGAAAAAGTATACAAGCAACATTGTTGCAGTGTGATTTCCTGTTTCACCTATCCTAACCTCTCAGGTGTGCCAACCTTCCCCCTCCCCCTTTTACCTTTCTGCTAAGAGCTGTCCATCAATCTTAACATTCCAGCAAGGGCATCGTGTGGTTGGCAGAAGTTCAAAAGATGCCAGGCTCATTGGCCTGTCCAAGTGTCTTTATCCCTTGAGCCTTCCCCTCCTCACACCTGGTTGGCCCTCACCTGTCCCTTCCCCTCCCCCTGTCCCCGGGGCTTAAAAGGACACGAGACCATGCAGTCGGC